GTGGGGAGTCAGTGCATCTGTCTATACTGCAGAATGTGCTGAAATGACCGGTGCTTTGTCCATCCAGAGCAAAAACACACTTCCGGGCTGGGGATATAGCTCAGTTGGTAGAGTGCTTGCCTCACAAGTACAAGGCCCTGGGTTCAATCCCCAGCACCACACACACACACACACACACACACATACACACACACTTCGAGTCCTTTTCTCCTGCTCAGGTCACCCAAATAGATTTGAAGATCCTTCAAGACAGGATTCCCAACACCTATTAATATTCCTTATGTCTTACAACTAGGTGGCTTTCAGAAATATTTGGCTTGGACTGAATGAATGACTGAAGGAAAAAGATCACTTCTTGCCTTGGCATCTGCTTCTGTGTTATTGGAAGTAATGTCTTCTCCTTCCTCCCTGACAGAGCGATGGTTTTGTTGATTTCTCTCTTTCCTACATGATCGCTTCTCTGCAAATCCCTCTTACACTCACCCTTCCAGATATCAGAGCTGTTCTCAGGTTTGTGGTCACCCTTGGCTGTCCTTCTCATGATCAAGAGTGAGACACTGAAAAGGAGGGGAAGCTTTCTTAGGGTCAGCAGCCTCCCTGTCTGCCCAGCATAGAGGGGTCCCAGAATAGGAAAGGCTCAGTGTTAAAACCAAGAAGGTTCTAGGAAAATCAGGCTGCATCAATCCCCCTTCTTAGCGTCCACGGTTTGAGCTAGTCCACTTTCAGCTCCACTGGAGAGGGTGTGGCTGGAACGTTTTTGGAACAGCCTCTTAGGTTAATATGTTGGGCTTTCATCTTGGGCTAGACCTCCCTGGAGAAACTTCCAGCCTCCTGCCTGAGGAGCCAAGGCCTGTCCAGCCAGGGTTCTGGCAGCCTGCAGGACGGGGTATCCATACAGTCCCTTCCTTCTTGAGATTTCAGTGCAGTGCCCACATCCTCCCTTGTGCCTGGCAGCCTCTGTCCAGAGTCCTGCTCTGTTGGCCTCAGCGCATCAGCCTTGCCCACCCTCATGATTATAAGATGCTACTGCAAGTCTAGATACCTGGTCTGACAAGACCGAGGGTGGCAAGCACGAGGACTCACCCTGATGTCTACTCCTTCCCTTCAGCCAAGCAAGACCATCTTTCCCAGAAGTCCCCAGGGCACGTGTCCTTGTGTCTCATTGACTTATATTCTATTTGGGGTCGAGGGAATAAAGCTGTAAAGGCTTCCCACCCTTCCAGGTGCCCTTTGACCTCCCAACTTTGAACATTACTGACAGGGGGACCAGGTGGGCATTTGGGGGATGATTCTTATAAAATGGATCATATCTAAGACCTGGCTGAGAGGGGCCTGCCTATCTGATGAGAAGCTTCCTGGATTAGACTCATGGGAAGGAAGGAAGGGTGGCCTCCATCACTTTGTCGGCTAATGTCTATTTAGCACTGACCGTGAGCTCGTTGGGGCGCTAAGGGGTACAGACACAGCAGTGAACAGGAAAATGGGGGAGAGAAAGCGATCATCACCCAGACCGCCTGACCACCCTCCACCCCAGAATCTAGACTCCCGCTGCACCCAGGGCAGATGGGCCTGTGTCAGGATGGCTGAAAACTATAAGAGCAATTTTCGTCAAGATGCTAACCCTAACCCTAACTTTAACCCTAACCCTAACCAGTGCTGCTCTAAGGCCTGGCTGAGGAGGCACACAGGGCGCGAGTAGGGGCAGAGGGTGCTCTTCTACTTGTGGCACTTATGCTCTGAATGCACACCGTGGTGGGAGCACCCGCCAGCTCAGCCCATGTGAAGGCTTGGGAGAGAGGCATGGGGACATCAGCAGGTGTCGACGCGTTGCCCACCGCTGGTCTATTTGTCTCCACAGGCTAGTTCTTGGGGATAAAACATGGGTGTCAGAATTTAGAAGAATTGGAGGAGGCACCTATCAATTTATACCTATTCTGCTCTGAAAATGTTATTTTGGTAGATTTTTCCCCTCTGTCATTATATGAATTTCAAACACATATAAAAATGGAGAAAATTGTCTAATGAGGTACTATGTACCCATCACCCACCCAGCTTCAAAAATTAACTACATGAGGCAGGGGTGGTGGAACACACCAGCTACTCAGGAAGCTGAGGCAGGAAGATCTCAAGTTTGAGGCCAACTTGCGCAGCTCAAAATGAGTTATTTTTTAGATTTAAGAAAAATTGTGGCTCAGAGGTAGAGCACTCGCCTAGCACGTGAGAGGCCCTGGGTTTGATCCTCAGCATCATGTATAAATAAATAAATAGATAGATAGATATTGATAGATAAATAAAGATATTGTGTCAACTACAACTAAAAAATATTTTTTTTTTAAATTAAAAGGAGCTGTGAAGGTAGGTCAGTGGTAGAGCACTTCCTTAGCATGCATGGATTCCACCCCTAGTACTGCAACAATAAAACAATTACCCACCTCAGTATTCATTTCTGCCAGTTTCTCCCAAAATTATTTTGTATCTTTTTGTTCATGATTATTTAAATATGCATCCAAAAAATTAGGAACTTAAAATATATATAACCATAATACCATTACTGCATGAAACATTTGATAAGTCCTTAATATCATCAAATATAATTAGGTATTTGATCAGTGTTCAAATTCCAATTGTCTGATAAATGTCACATGCCTTTTTACAATTTATTTCAGCATCCAAATAAGGTCCACAGTTCTATAAATTTTAAACCTCCATGGAATTCTGGTTGAAAGAACAGAATTACACTTCTCTAACACCAAGGTTTACATAACCACAATAGGAGGGAAGGTGTTTTTTTTTTTGTTTTTTTTCTTCTTCCTTATTTAAAAAAAAAAAAAAAAAAAATCATTGCAAGGCTGTCAATGGAAAATCATTTCCCCAGGCCCCAGGTTTCCAGCCTCATAACTAGAAGCATTTAGCAATTTGGCCAAAGAACAAAGTTGGCAGGTGAGTCATTTCCCCCTGGAGTCCACCCACGTTGCCAGGTTACCTGGTCAGTGCCACTGGCCCTTAGAACTCCTCTGAGGTCTAATTAAGTTAGAGGGCTCAGGTGCCCGTGGAGCCACCAGGGGGCGCCCAAGGAACTCGATGAACTTCACCATCATCTTAAACCCAAAGTGGCTGCTTTATTTTAGACAGAAGAGACAGAAGATGCCAAGTGAAGATTGATCCTCCCTCCTTCAGGTCAGATTTCAGCAGCCAAAGACCAGCTCTCAGGGAAATGTGGTGCTCATTCCCTCTGCGGCCTGGAAAAGGCCAAGGTAGCTGTCAATTGCCTTGTCGGAGGATTTGAAGTTTCCAGACCTCCCCACACAGCAGTGGCCTTTCTCTTCAATCTACTTGACAGCAAAGTGCATACCAGTGGCCCATCCCATGTACAGGAGCATCTGGTAGCTCCATGACTATTAATATGTACTTTGATTACTAAGTAAATCGAGAGCTGTATTCTCAGCAATGTTAAACATCTGTAATAAGGATGTAGTTCAATGGTGGAATGCTACCTTAGCATGTGCAAGGCCCTGGGTTCAATCTCCAGCACCACCAAAAGAAAGAGATATTCATAAGTGTAGATAGTTGAGGTGAAGCTAAAAACCCAAGGCTGAGAGCCTGGTCCTCCGGCCTTATGAGTCCTAGAGTGGTTATCACGGAGCACCACAAACTAGGTGACTTAAGACCACAGAAACATATCCTTCCTTCACAGTTGTAAGGGTTACAAGTTAGAAAGCAAGGTACCAACAGGGCCACATTCCCTGACAGCTCTAGGGACAGCCCATCCTGCCTCTTCCCTGGTGTTCACCAGCATGCTTGGCGTTCCTTGGCTTGTACACAGTCATCTTCTCCCTGTGTGTCTTACATTGTCCTCCCTCTCTGTGTGTGTCTGTCTCTGGGTCCAAATTTCCTCTTTTTATAAAGACACCACTAGGTTAGATTAGTCTTCCAGCTCAGCAGCCTCTTTTAAACTTAATTACCCCTGTAAAGATGATCTCCAAATAAGGACACATGCTGAGGAACTAGGGATTAGGACTTGGGCATATCTTTTTGGAAGGACATAATTCAATCCACGACAGGAACCATGTTGTAGAAAAGATCATGTTCAAGAAGAAAGTGATCAGAAACCCCACGAATCATGTGTGCTCATGGGTCATGCCACCCAGAGGTCCCAGAGTAAAGACCACAAAGATGTCATAACAACACACAAATGATCATGGTGTGGAAAGCTACATGTGATTTTACTGAGAGGAGCACGCATCAGAGCCCTAGTGAACCTCATAAGCCAAATTACAATAAATTCACTACATTGGATCATTTTCTATTGTAAAAAAGAAAATTGAAGCACGATAACATTTTAGAGCCATTTGAGCAAATAACAATCACGAATCAAGCAGCCCCAAGGCACAAGTGGTCCAGGAGCTCCCGAGGAGGGAGTACGAGGGGGACAGGCGCAGGAGGGAAGCAAACACAACATGTGATTGGTGACAGTTACAGAGCTGCCTTATTTAGTCTCTGGCATTGGAAAGTCCCTGGTTATATAAGTTCATTGGCTGCTCCGGGTTGGTTAAGTTCTGTTTTTCTTTATTATAAATATTTACAAGAAATAGCTCAAGTTAAGTTTTGCTTACATCTGCCAATCCAGCAAGGTTCAAGGTCACTTAGGAAGGTTAACTGGCTTTCTCTACTCTGGACCCTCCAAGCCTGGCTCCATTTTAATTTTACACTATGATCATTGATACAAGAAAAATCAAATGCAAGCCAAGACCCAAAAAAAGAAATCCAGATTTTTGTTAAAATGATTCAGTCGAGAGCGATTATTGTGCTCCTACAAAAATTATCATAGAACACTCTTTTATTTTAAACACAGAGAACTTGTATGTATTAAATGTTCACGAAACAAGATTCACAGCTCTTCTCAGGAACACAAGCATCCTTTGCTTAATGAGGACACCAGGGCCTCTGCTTGTCACCACCAACAAAGGGCCATCCACTCTTCTGGGTTTTAGTTAGAGTGTTCATGGCTCTGCAGGCACCCGGCCACACAGGGTCCACTTCAGTTCCTGCCACGGCCTCTCAATGAACAGCGTCAGGGCCAGCCCAGAGACGAAGGTCAGCACACAGTGTCCAGTGAAAAGATAGAACTGTAAGGGAAAGGGGTACAGCGGATGCACTTTTACTCTCCAATTCCCTCGTGTTTGGATCTTAGAATGTGTCATCCTGGTTATATGAAATGGCTCTGTAGAACAGACAGTCCCAGACATTAAAAACTAAAATAAAGATGTCACCCTGTATAAAGCCCTTCCTCTTTCTCCCCCAAGTAAAACAGAACAATCAATCTCTTTGGAAAACCAAACAGGCTTCTCACAAAGCCGACACTTTGCTGTGTCACTGCAGAGAAAAAAAAAAAAAAAAAAAACTGTGGTTCTGTGACAGAACTGGGGACTGGGGGCTGGGGCTAACTCACCATGTTGGAATCAGTGTAGTGGATAAGAGTCTCCTGAAGTGCATTGTGCAGGATGATCAGAACCGGGTGCACCAGGTAGCAAGCGTAACTGATGCCGGCCAGGAAACTCCAGATGTCACAAGAAAGCACCCTTTTCACCAGACCTGGAGGGGACACACACTGCCTCATGAAGCCACAAGCCCCTCTCTGAGTTCTTTGGGGGCCCTTATTCAGCCTACGGAGTCTCTAGGCTCCCCACTACCCCCACCCCATTGGGTTTTTTCCTTCCCTGTTGCTATATCCCCAGCATCTAGAACATCACTTGGCATAAAAACAAGTATACAAAAGTACTTTTTGTAATTAAGTGAATAAAAAAACAAGATGGATTCAGAGATAAAAGATGGATTTGCTCTGAGCAGAATCCAAATTAAGGTGATCCAAGATATCACCAGGCAACAAAACAAAAAACAGTTGGAGGAAAATTAAGTCATCAAAGAGCCTAATCTCAGAGAGGTACGCCAAGCTCACAAGAAGGCCCCGCGAAGCCAAGAATCCCACACACAGTGGTGAGCCACAAGGGACACCAGCAAATTGTCATCACTTTGTTAATGGAGCTAATGCAGATTTTATTGGTTTTGTAGTTTTATGGTCATTTTATAAATTTGGGGGGGCTTCATAAATGTATGTGCTATAAGAACTTGTATCCAGATTTATGTTTGTTTGTATTTAAGTAAAGTTAGGAGAAAAATAATTGAGGCCAACATGAAAGATCCAAAGAATTTTTAGCCCTTTAGAATGAGTCCAAACATAAGTTCAGGGGCCACAGCTAAAAGTGACAGGATTTCAGCCAAAGGAGTAACATGGTCAGGAGATGAATGGTTGTCTAAGGGGACAACTTAGAGGCTAACGGGATCTGCATAGTCTATGTTGGTACAACTAAAAATGATTGGAACGATCATTTGAACCTATAGATACTCCTTCATCCTGAGAGTCTCAATTAGACACTTCTTGAAATGTCACCTTTTTCTAAAGGTCATCAGGAATATACATTTTCTCAAAACTTATCTGAACACTTAGATCTCCTGCATTCACTTACTGATCAATATTTTTTTTTTCCTGGTAGTAGGGATTGAACTCAGGGGCACTCAACCACTGAGCCACATCCCCAGCCCTATTTTGTATTTTATTAAGAGACAGGGTCTCACTGAATTGGTTAACACCTTGCTATTCCTGAGGCTGGTTTTGAACTTGTAATCCTCCTGCCTCAGCCTCCCGAGCCACAGGCAAGTGCCACCGCGCCTGGCCTGACAAATTTTGATATCTTGTAAACAGTGTTGGAGACATGAACCCAGGATAACAGTCACACCTGTACCTGTGGATTGACTCGTGACAGCCCCCTTTGATACATCACTCGGGAATAAACAAAAGGGCTCATTTGGCACCTGGAGGAAGAGAGATGTCACCTTACTCACACTAATGACTGAGAAAAGTCACTAGCGCCACTGTAATGATATAGCTGCAGATTTGTTCAGTCTTCTAACAAGCAAAGTCATTCTTCTCTCATGGTCATTTGCATCAGCTAGTCATTCTTGATAGCAGCAGGACACAGCAGACAGGAATCCCGTGACATTTGCCACAGTACTGTGAACTGCCAGGGCTGGGCCAGGGGCAGTAGCTGCTCACATTCTGAGGTTCTGGGAACTACTCGGGGGCATTGTCCCAGAATGGGGAAGGACCTACGGCTGTGGTCAGGGGGTCTGAAGTTCACCATAAATGAAGACACAATAGTCAGCAAGAACACAGCCCTCTTCCTCTTCAATATCACCTTCATATTTAAGCGAAAGCTTCTAAAATTGGGACATTGGCCTGGGGAAATGGCTCAGTGTTAGACATTTACCTATCAAGTATGAGGCCTTGGGTTCAAGCCCCAGTGCTGTAAAGTGTGTGTGTGTGTGTGTGTGTGTGTGCCTTATAGCCAGGCATGGCAGTGCACACCTGTAATCCAACACACAGAGGAGGCTGAGGCAGGAGGATTGCAAGTTCAAGGTCAGCCTCAGCAACTTAATGAGATCCTGACTCGATAGAGAATTAAAAGGGCTGAGGATGTGGCTCAGTGTGGAGTACTTGCCTTGCATGTGCAAGACCCTCATTTCAATCCTCAGTACTAAATGGAATATAACAGAACAAATGATCACTAGATTAAAATTCTCAAAAATTCAAGAATTATTCTAATCAACATCCAAAAGGGGGAATGTTGCTCAGAAACGAAGAGCATCAGCCTTTGACGTTATACTGCCTTGGGTGCTCCTTCTAGCTCGGCCACTTCCCAGCTGTGTGGCTTTCACTTCATGCATTGTGTTCTCCTAGAGAAACAGAGCTCATTATAGGTGTGCCTCTTAGGGGCATGACCAGCGTTACCTGGGGCACCAGAGGTGACATTTCCACAGGACCTGGTGCACATCCTGGGCTCCATCAGCCATGTTAGAATCACACCATGTTTCCGACCCCTTTGCTGAGGCTGATAGGTTTGGGTTCCCAGGTGGGGTCTAACCTCATCCCAGAGATGTTCCCAGAGGGTGAAGCTGTCGTGCCTCTGCTGGCCCTGGCTCTTCATCCTCAGGGATTCTGGAAAGTTCAGGGCTGCAACTTTTTGTGGACACTGCCTACCAGCCTAAGTCCTGCCATCTGCTGACCCCATGCCCTCTCTTCCTTCCTATCTCATGCCAAATAGAGAAGAAAGGGAGGAAAACGTTAGAGATCTCTAACCTGGAGATTCTTTTCTTTCCATTTTCACCTTTATCTGCTTGACTCCAGCACCTCAAAAGCTGATTTGACAGCAGCAGTTTCCTGGTTATGGAAGGGGGTCTTGGAAACGTTGACTTTACCTCCTCAGAGGAAGAGACAAAGGCTCAGGGTGGGTTGACCAGAAGTCTTATCCCCTGGCACTAAGTTACTGTTTTCTCAGTGCATTTCTCTACCTGAATTCTTTCCAACTTCTAAACTAGCTTTACTGTCTCCAGTAACAACTTTGTCCTCAGAATTACATTTGTACACAGACCAACATAAAATCTAAAACAGTATGTGGGGTGTTTTCTCCAAGGATATACACAAATGGATGTTTCTGAGTCAGTAGGAGCCATTCATCAACCACTCCAGTACAGAGAAGCCCCTCTGGGTACACACGCTGTGGTTTAGATTTGCCACCCTGTGTGAGCGCCAGAGCAGAGCCCAGGGCCACCTCCTACCTCCATAGCCTTCCTGGCATGCAAAGATGACCCAGCCCACGGCGGCAGCCCACAGGGTCCGGTGGAGGGCCTGGTAGACTGCGGCGGCCACCCAAGTCTCAGCGGAGAGATCGTCCAGCACGTATGCCAGAGTGACAACCGTGAACAGGGTCAGCAGGGAGCAAGTCCACCCCAACAGGGCCTGCACCTACAGGGAAAGGAGAAGTGGCTCACAGCCCATTGAAACCACTGTGCATTCATGTCTGCTTGCACAGACTCACTTTTTTTGGGGGGGGGGTGTTATTTCTGTCGCTTCAGAAACCTCAACTGTGTAAATTTGACTCAGGTAGAGGACTCAGCCTACCAGTTGCCACAGGTGAGCAATGGGTGGGCAGAGAGGTGTGTCTGACTGTAAAGGGGTGGGATGAGAAGGTGACGCCGTGTGGTGATGAAGAGTTGTGCCTTGACTGCGGTGGTGGTTACTCAGATCACCACAGGGGACAACACGGCCCAGAACTACATGTTCATAAATGAATATAGGTAAAATGGGTGGGTCTATGGATTGTGCCTATGTCAATTCCTGGGTGTGGAAATACACCCTTAGCTGTCACTTGGTACCTGGCTGAAGGGTGCACAGGACCTTTCTGTATCCTGTGTATCTACAACCATCTCAAAATGAAGGTTAAAAGAGAAAAAGTCAATTAGGTCATGTTCTAACCTGCTCCTACCACTCCTGACCTCCCATTCTGCCTCTTAACCAGAGGTGGCTCTTTGCTGAATCCTGCCCCACCTAAGTGGGAAAGCCCACAGGCCACCTTGCCTGCCTGGACTGTGCCCTAGACACCAGGACACAAAATGTTGGAAGGGAGAGTGGGGAAGTTCTCAGCTCCGACAGCTCCCTGACTTAAATGCTACTGCTTAGTCTGAGGTCATGTCTTACGGCACCTTTCTTGACCTTTTTATTTCCAAATCATCTTCCACGGCTCTGTCTTGCTTCCCCATGTTCTAGTTCTCCAGCTTCTGTGATGATATCTACAGAATGGAGCCAACTTCAGATCAGTCCACCATCTAGTCTCTTAGACCTTCTCGGGTCTCCGGCTCTTGCCCTAGTTTCCAGCTACAGGGAAGGAGAGGCAAACCCTCAGGGGCTCTGAGCTCTGTCAGCCTAGGATCCCCTTCAGCCCACTGCTAAGTCCTTGGCCTTGACCGCCCTGCAGCCTTATAAAGTGCATCCCAGCTGCATGCTCTCTCCCTGTCCTTTCTTCTACCAGTAGTGCATCCTGCCTGAACTCATCCCAAGACATGGTGCATGCCCAGCTCCTTCCAGCTTGCACTCGGTCCTTATTTTAAACCTTCTTAAGCTTGAGTTTGTTCCACCTAACGTGTCCCTGTTGTTCTCCCGCTGTGTCCTAGTTCCACACTCCCTGTTCCTGACATTGGCCCTTGAAGTGGTTCCCCAATGCTCTGTCTTCATCTTAACCTTTCCCCTTTGCTCACACTCATCTTCACACCCCACGTAACCTGGACTATGTTGAAACAAGCCTTCAATGGTGCTCTGTTATAATCTACAACTGAATACTCTATTTCTATGGAATATCATATACCCAACCTATTAAAAAGTCACATGGCCCCTTTACTTCTGGTTAAATCCTATCTTTTGTTCCTGCCATGATCAACACAAGAAGATTTTTACAAAGACCAATGTAAAAATGTCTGTGAGGTACACACACAACCGAGGCAAACAAAAGGAGGGTCTTACAGAAGCATTTGGGCAGGAGTTGTATCGTGCTAGTGCAATGGAATTCCTTGCTTCCACTGGAAAGCAAGTTCTCTTTCATTCCTTCATTTATTGAATGGCTTCAGTGAGTTAAGATCTCAGAACCAGGCGCCACAGATTCAGAGGTGAGTAAGAGATGCTGTGCCCTCAAGGAGGAGAAAGATATTGACCAAATTATATTATTATGTGGTGAGCATGTAGGAACATGTTACAACAAATCCCACCATTATGTATAATTATATGCACCAATAAGAATATTGTTAAAAAATAAATTAGAAAGATAAGAAGAGACAGAACCAGGCAATGTGCAGGGAGGGATCCAACCAGCCTGGAGGGATAAGTGAAGGCGACCTATCTGAAAACCTTAAATGAGCCTTTGAGGAGAGACAGGAGTTAAATCAGGTGAAAGGGAGGGGCAGTGGGGGACGTTGGAGGGTGGAAAAGCACGTTCCCAGCAGAGAAGGAAGCATGAGCATCTACACAGATCAAGAAAGAGCAGATCTGGGATCAGCACACCCAGAGGCAAGAAAACTAGTGAAGAAATCTAGGGAAGAGATAACAGCTTCAACAAAGTTGGCTTCAGAGGTCCTGAAAGCACAGCAAGAGAAACAATCTGCAGGCTGAGGTGGTTGGCTGGAGCTGGAGGAGTGGTCTGTGACCAGGAGACGTGTCCCTGCAAGCCCAGGTTTCCAGCTTGAGCAGTGAGCTTGAGTGGTGAGCCAGAAGCACTGCCCACAAGAGAGCCAGGGACGGGAAGATGGGATCAGGGCCCACATGGAAGGCAAAGGAACAGACTCCCCATGTTTAGACACCTCCCATCTTGATTCCCAGATAGAACCATCAAACCTGACCAGGAATCCTGTCTATAGAAACTGCAGGGATTTAAAAACCCAACCCACTCTGTCCCCTCCCATGAGGGCCTTGCCATGATAATCTCATGGGCATGCATTCCCAGATCATGGTCTGAACCAAAGTTCTAATGGAGGAGACTCCACTGAGCTCTAAATTGGAAGCTTGGTAACAGAAACTCCTTGAAGAGAATTGGGATCTGGCAAGAAAATCAACTCCTTCCTATCTTTTAGCACAAAGATACATCCACAACACACAGCAGCACAGTAACTTACCCTATAGTCTGATTCCTCCTGCCCATGGCTAGGATGAGTGTGAACAGATGGCTGCACCAAGCCAACCAACCCAGTGCCCTTACAGGGAGGCATGGGAAAACCATACCTTGGTCTTGAGAATATTTGACTGATGGTTTTGGTGCATGAAAATGCTCAGAAAGAGGCCCACAAGGAATGGTCCATATCGGCAGTAGGGCTTGGTGTAGTATTCCAAGAAATACATTACAGTCTCATTTTCACTGAAAAAATACAAGAAAATAAAATAAAAGGTTATGTTTCTTCTAGATATAGAAATGGGAATCTCTGAGATGTCCATTGGGGTAACCAGGAAAACCAAAGGTAAATTTGGGCACATTTGTTCATTTATCTACCAATAGTGACCTGCCTTGGGCTGCAGTTGGCTTGTCCAAATTCCATGCCCAATCCCTAGGATACAGGATGACATTGTTCACTTTAAATAATTGTTTCTGGTGGCTGATACTCCAGGATAGCTCTGAGAACATGATGCCCAGAAGAGACTAATATGAGGGAAAAGCGTTCTGAGAGGTCCAAGCTGGGCTCCTGAGAAGATACCAAAGAGTATTCTTGGATGCTGTGATTTCCAAGGTATGGTCCCCTGACGTTAACAGCAGCATCATGTTTAGAACTTATTAGGAAGTCAAATTCCTGCCTTCCCCTCCCCTGACCTACTGAATAGGAGGAAACTGGTAGAGGAGCCAGCCATCTTGTGATAAGAAGCCTTCCAGGGGACCCTGATACCCGTCAAGCTCGAGAAGCACCACCTATGGAGTATCTGTCACAGGAAATGTCCAGGTTACACTCAGGCGCATTAAATAAGAAACTGTGGGCATGATACCCAGAGAGGAAGATGGTCAAAGCTCATCTGGGCTTGCAAAGCGCAGCCTCGACTGGGAACTGTGCTTTAAATGTATCACTGTTCCCCCACCGAAGCTAAACATGCTCTCAGCTCTGACTCCCCTCACGGCCCATGCAGGGACAACCAGGCAGGGAAGTTTCCTGAGGATCAGTGAGTGGTTCTTCTAACATAGCTGCACACTAAAATGCCTGGGGAATGCTTATGAAAGTCAGTTGTCTGGGCTCCATCTCCAGAGATTCCCAAACAATTGGCCCAAGGTAGGGCTAGAAGCACCAGTAGGATCTAAACTTCCCAGGGGGACTCTAAAGCGCATCCCGCAGAGGGAACCACAGGGGGTAGGCATGAGTAAGCCTCCTTTCTCCATCACCTGGACACACCCACAGAGGCAGATGACATTTATGGGAAGGGCATGTGCTCTCCTAGCCAAGAAGCTTGCTGTGTAGTTTCATCCATTCATTTAGCAACATGTCCCGCCCACTCACAAATACGTAGGGAGCACTTATGTACCAGGCCTGTCCGGACCATTTTATATGGGGAGGTCCATGAAGGGGAGGCTGGGAATGTGACATTTCACAGACATCTGAAAGAGGTGAAGGAGAAAGCCCTATAGAGATCTTAGATCCTATGGAAGAGCATTCTAGACAGGGGGAAGGATAAGTGTGACGGCCCTGTGCCAGGAGTGTGCTATGTGGTGGACGTGAGGTCACTGTGGGTCTGGAGGCAGCAGGCAGGAGGGGGACAGATGAAGCCAGTCACTGGGGGAATCAGCCCAGATGGCTGACCTGTCTGATGCTCTGTGTCACTCTGCTGAATTGAGAATAGATGAGCTGGTGATTCCACAGCGTGGTTATAAGGAAGAATCATACACGTTGCTCATCGGAGAGGAAAAATAGCATCGTGGGTAAGGTCCTAGGTTCAATCACATCCAGGCCATCTAGTAGTAGCCTTGTCACCTCGAAAAGTTAGCCCCTAATTCCTAAATTCCGGTCCTTCCATCCAACAATAGAGATTCGGAGCAGCCATTCACACACTAGAGAAAAAGCACCTTTTCGCCACGCGGGGGCGCTCCTTTCCTCTGAGAAGCATTTCCATGGGCGGCGGCGTGAGTTCAAGAGCACCCCTCGAGGCAAGTTGAAAGGTTCAGAAGTTTGGAAGCAAAAATGCAACCGGCTTTCTCAAGCAGATGGAAAATTTCCCACCCAGCTTTCCCACGAGCCGAGCCGGTGGACACAGAGCAAGCAGCCTGGCATTCAGCCGTCCTCCCTGGGAGGTCTGGCATGGGAGGGCAGGAGAGGGACAGAGGGACAGGCTGGGAACCATTACCTGGCTGCCGATGGAGACGACACGGGAAGTCTGTAAGCCAGTGTGAGCAGAGCAGTGGCAGTGAAAGATGCCAGGAACAGCAGGGCCCCGAGGAGGACAAGCACATGTTTGCTTCTGCAAAGAGAGGACATGGGGAGGAGGACCCTGCAGGTCCTTGCACCACCACGTTTATAAAGCCTGACAACCAAGGAGCTCCTGCTGGCCTCGCTTTGCCAGGGGGTGGGGGTGGGGAGACCCGATGGACCAGGCGAGCTGGGCTGAGGTGGGAGGACCTTTACTAGCTGTGTGACCCTGGACAGGGCCTTGAACTCGAGTTTCCTTGTCTAGAAGCTTATGATGCCGCTCAAAATGAGGCCTTGCCAGGGAAAGTCCTTTGTCATCTACACAATACTATACGGATGTAAATGGTTGATTAAAGAGAGAAATGAATTGCTCAAGGCAGGTAAGGTGGACACTGACACTCACTCCAAGGACATGGGAGGGGGACAGAGTAGGAAGGGGATCCTGGTGTCCCCCTGCCAATCTGGAAGCAGGCCAGAGATAAATGGGTGTGCACAGTTCTTGTGGAAGTAGGATTGGGGATGGGGAAGAACAAGAAAGCGGGAAAAGCCAGTACAAGGTTATGTGCTATCAAGGTCACCAGTGCTCAGTTCTTCCAGAATGTTCTTCAGAGCCTCATGAAATGTATCTCAGAACTGTCCTGGGGATGAAAGAGGGAAGCATTTTCCCAGTGTATTTCATTTCCCATGGGTCAAGGGTGGCCCCACACAAATTAGTGCTTGTGCACTTTGGAATTTTGCATGTGTAAGACTAGAGGGTCCCTGGAGTCCCAGCTATAATACTGAGAGGCTCTGGTAAGAAACAAGAGCTTTGTAAACCCAGGCTCTGAGCAAGGTGGAGTCTGTACTGGCTCATAGTAGTAAGTAAGGGTTGGGACTAAGAGGCTCTGCAGTTTTGTAGAAATGTCAAACACAGGTGTCTCGATTTTTAAAAAGTAATTCATCGTTATGATTCAAGAGCCCCAAAGACATTCATACCCTTTGGCCCAGTAATTCCTCCCAAGGATATGCTTTCTAAAGAAATATTGGAGTTGGAGGTAAATGATTGCCATGAATATATTCATCAGGCCATTATTTATAAAAAGCATAAAATTGGAAAGAATCCAAGTATTTAACAATGGGAGAAGGTATAAGTAAATCACAGTTCATCCAGGAAATGGAATGTTATGCAGGCTTTATGATTATGTTTTCTAAAAGTAAAATAGTACAGGGAAATGTGTAGGTCACAAGCTATTAAATAAAAGATAGAAACATATTTATACAGAACATTTTCATGTATATAATGCTGGGCAGAAAAAAACATCAGTAGCATAATCATCAAAATATTAACAGTGATTTTGCCTCACCTTCAGTGACGAGAGACTGGGTGATTGTATCTCCCTCTTTTAATCCTAATATTTTCCAATATTTCTTAAATTGAACAAGTACTTGGGCAAAAAAAAGAATAATAAATCTCTTAAAATATGGCATGAGTGGTCCACAAACTATAAATCTCCGCATGAATTATTGAGGCCATAAAGTATTTCTAAAACTAACAAAAATTAAGATGATAAATACCCAATGTGGGGAAGCAGGTACCCTGATACATTGTTGAGTGTGCTGTAAATTTCTTTTCTTTCCAGAGAGCAATCTACACTAGGAAACGAGCAGCACAGAATTGCTCCTACCCTTTGACCTAGTAATTCCACTTGGAAATCTGCCCCCATGGAAATAACCAGGAGAAGAAGTAGTGTGTTCAAAGACATTCATTGATGTGCCATTTATAATCATGAAAAACTGGGCTCAATCTAGATGCCCAGCCACAAAAATGACATATAAATCCTAAAAGTGACAGGTATGCAGGTTATGTCAATAAGTGGAAGTGTTTATAAGAAGAGTTGACGTGGAAAAACCTGAACGGTAGATATTACCTACATGCTAATTATAACTCTGCAAAAACGTACTGACCTGGGCCATAAAAAGAGAATGTGGAAGAAGGTAAACACAGAGGACATGGGACCTGCATTTCTGAAAACTCATTTTCTCAATTTAAAAAAATCTGCTCTACACACAGCTAGAGCACTTTCTTTAGAGTCTCAAGGGGCAGTTATCCCAGTTAGACTCACTTTCTGTAGACAAGGACAATCAGCGGTGTGGTGAGGTGGAACTGGAAGTCGTTGGCAAGGTACCAGGTCCAGCCATTACACTGCAAAGAGAAGCCAAAGTGACCTCTTGCCTTCAGGTCTTTCCTCTTGCTCCACATCTCCCACCTGCCTGGACTTGGAGGAAGAGCTCAGTAGGTGGTTGGGATGAGGAGCTGGCTGGGGAAGAGAAGGAAATTTGAGCAAGTGCTATTTCACATCCCTTGGTCCATGGATTCTTGGAACAAGTCTGGATAGCAGATTTTACCACATGGAGATTCGGACAGTTTTCTCTTTTGTTTTTAGAAAACCAGTAACCGTCTCTTTGAACAGTTGTGGGAACTGGACTCCATCATGTTACAGGCATGTGCAAGGTAATTATCAAAACAGTGCAGTTGGAACTCAGCAGTTGGTGTTATTTTCTTTCCCTTGCCTGGTCTTGGCCCCCAACTTTAGGTGGCAAAACTGTGCTCATTTGGAACCACGGCGTGGCTCCAGATGCACTTCAGTGGAAGCCCCTGTGTTCCCAAACAGGGTCCACGTGGGATCGTCTAGGCAAAACCACACGGTTGGAACTGTCCATGGATATTGAGAAATAAGGTAGTTACCTCCACTTTTCCTTCAATGTGAGGGGACGGTTTTCCTGTGCCTTGGACCCCAGGGTCCCAGGGCACTCAGACTTCTGCCAAGGAAGGGGCATCTTTGTCCACAGTTGAAGACAATGTTTCATGGTGGGGAAAAGCATGAGTAGCAGTCTTGAGGGCCCTGGCACCCTAGCTTCTGGGTATCTAAGGTGGACTTCACCTCAAAGAGGTAACTGGCTTCTGTCCTTGTCCCTGATTCCCCAAAATGGGAACACAGTCTGCTGGGAAGACAGACTGTCTCCCAGGACCCCTGTCACCAATGGACTGCTCGTCAAAGCTGCTGGCCATTTCATTAGTAAGTGGTTATGTACCATAATTAGGGACCTGCCACACTTAGGAAATTCTCTTTTGGTTCCGCTTTCAAGACATTTGAGGAATTGGTGACATGATCTAATTACAGTTATTTCAGTTTTTTTCATTCCACATTTATTATGAGGACTCTGGGGCTTTGGGGTAGCCACAACATGAACGGATCTTGTAGTTCTGAACAAGCTCTGTCAGGTCTGGCTAGAAATTGAGTAGAATTTCCTATGGTGAGGGTGTGGTGGGAGGTTCCACCCCAGGATAGGCTCTTGGTGCGTATGGTGAAGATGGTGTCCTTTCCTTTGGGGTGAAGGACATGCACTGGTACGGGACCATGATGGGGTTGGGGCTGTCACCTTGGGACATGGACCTTGGAGGTTGTTACCCCTCACTAACACTACTATGCCCTCCTCTGCTTCCCACAGCAGCTGCCCCCTGTGTAGACCGACACAGCTCCACCCCAGGTTGGCCCTATCCCGTGACTGAGGCACCGGTGACCCACCTGCCCTTACAAAGCCAACAACTCGAGACTCACCGCATTCTGGACGGACACAAAGTTATTTAGCAACAGCAGATTGGTCCACCAAGCTTGCCGGCAGTTATCCCAGTGGAATTTGGGTACTTCCCAGACAGGTCCCCAGGGAACGACAGGGAACAATCCAACCAACAAGCACACTGAGTACAGGTGAAGAGGCTGCAGTCTGGCAGGAAAGAGCAGGAGAGAGGAGGTGACTCTCCAGAGGTCCGCTCAGCCCCATGGTGGGCGCCTGGGGGACGGAGGGTAGGTGCTCCACAACAGACTGTGTCGGAGGCCAGCCTCCTGCCAGCACACTCCAGCATTCAGGCATCCAGGGGTCCAGGATCACTGCTAAGCTGCTCCCATGTGCTGTGTCAGTGCTACCTCCTGACACAAAATCACCGTCATTTACTGCCTCTGTGATAGAAGCTTTTTAGATATTTCTAACCCTCAGACTATCCAGTCAGGTAGCCCTTTCCTCCCTTTTACTGATGAGGAGATTAGGGTGACTTGCCCTAATCACACAGCAGTGCTGAGATCTGACACGGGTTCGTGTTCTTTCCACAGCACCTCGAGCAATAACGATCTCCTTCCTCGCTCCCTCTTTCCCTCTCCTCTTCTGGGGCTTCATCTCTTCCTTCCTTCATACCCCTCCTGCTCCCATGCAGGACCCAAAGTAGTCACAAAGGTGAAGCATAAGACTCCAGGTGTCCAGATCAGTGTGGCTCAGTGGAAATGGAACGTGAACCCCGTCTATCACCCCCCATTTGGCATTTTCTAGTAGCTGCACTTTACAGAGTAAAAAAAAAAAAAAGGTACAATTAATTTTAAGATCACTTATTTAGCCCAAAATATTATCATTTCAAACATGTAACCAACCTAAAAATGTATTAGCAAGCTACTTTATATTCTTTTTTTCTTTTACTAAATCTTCAGAACCCAGCACATACTTTGCACCTGAGGGACATCTCAGTTGGCCACGGGTGTCTGGCAGAGTTGGGAGTGAGGTGTGACAGGGCATCACATACAGTTCTGGAAGGGATTCTGGGTGCACTGAGGTCAGATCACTCTTTTTAAAAAGTATATTCTGGGCTGAGAGTAGATCAGTAGTAGGATGAATATTTAGCAAGGCCCTGGGTTCAATCCCTAGCACCACAAAAAACTAAAAATGAAAGAATATATATGCAAATGCTAACTCAGAATAAAGCGGGGGGGCACTGGGGAAGAATAGCGTTACCTTAGATTAGGTAGAGGGAAGTTATGGGAGTGGAAGGGGATGTGGGGATAGGAAAGGTAGTAGAAGGAAACAGGCATTATTACTGTATGAATATATGTGACTGCATGACCAGTATGATTATGCAACATGTACACTCAGGAAAATGAAATTATATCCCACCTATTTATGATGTATCAAAGTGCATAAATGCATTCTACTGTCATGTATTAATTAAAACAAATAAAATTTTAATTAAAAAATTAATTTAAAAAAATAATACATCTTGATATTCACTGTAGTTTTTCTCAAGTAGAGCAAGTAGACCCCATAGAACCTCTTTTATGGTTTAGATATGAGCTGTCCCCCAAAAGCTCATTGTTAGACAATGCAAGAAGGTTCAGAGGAGAAATGACTGGGTTGTAAGAGTCTTAACCCAATCCGTGATTTAATCCCTTGGTAGGGATTAACTGAGTGGTAACTGAAGTGGCAGGGTGTGGCTGGAGGAGGTGGGTATTGGAGCATGGCTTTGACTATATATTTGTGTCTACCAAGTGGAGTCTCTGTCTCAGCTTTCAGTTCACCATGATATGAGCTGCTTCCCTTGACCACTCTCCCCTGCCATGATGTTCAGCCTCACCTCGAGCCTTGAGGAATGGAGCCAGCCTTCTATGGACCAAGACTTCTGAAACCATAAGCCCTAAAATAAACTCTTCTTCCTTTATAATTGTGCTGGTCAGGTCCTTTAGTCACAGCATTGAAAAAGCCAACTAACACAACCTCAGATCATTGGGATGAGGCATCCGGGCTGGGTGGGGTGCAGGCAGGACTTGGAGCATCTCCACCCACAGCTGCAGGACAGTGAATCAGTACCAAGCATCAGGCCCGTTGGGCTCCCGGGCCTCTGGGCAATGAGAGCATCCTACACAATGTCCACTGGGCATGCGAGGAACAGAGATGGAATTGTTGATCAAAGCGAGAAAAAGCAGGTGAGGATGTCAAGTGCACCTTCCCAGATCAGCTCACCTCAGTGTCTGCTTGGGCAGCAGCCTTCCTGGGGCCTGAGGTCTGCCCTGCCAGCCATCTGACCAGAGGCACTGCAGCTGCTCCTCCGAGCCTCTGGCTCCCACCTCCCTGGACGCCCTTCCCACCATCTGCCACCTTCCTCTCCCTGGAGAGAGTGTCCACCCTGCTCCCCTCAGAAGCAGCACTCAGGACAGATGCAGTCAGGGGGGACATCCCTCCTGCCCCACCCCAGCAGTGCGCCCACCCCTTCTCCATCTACCTCCCCTGGTACTTGTGAAAATGAAGGCTCAGAATCAGTGGGTCTCGGGGGGATGGGCCAATGCTGTTGGGGGAGGGCAGCTACAGGAAAAGAACCAGAGCGTGACTTCTAGATTTGCCTTAAGTCTTCACATCTGACTTCTCTTCTTCCTTCTTCTTTAAAAGAAGGATGATGCTTTCTGCCTCCTAAGCTTTTTTGAGAATGCAATGAGATAAATACACGGACAGTTTGACACATAGGACCATAGAAATTAATATGTGCTGTTTCTTTTTTTTTTCCCCCTTTGGTACAGGGGATTGAACCCAGGGGCATTTAATCTCTGAACCACATCCCCAGCCCTCTTTATTTTTTATTTTGACACAAGGCCTCACTACGTTGTTAAGGATGGCCTTGAACTTGTGATCCTCCTGCCTCAATCTCCAAGTCCCTGGGATTAAAGGCGTGTGCTACCACACCTGGAGTAGTGCATCTTTATCCAAGCTTCCAAGAGTTAAAGTCAAAGCAGGTTTGAAAAGTGGGATCCTTGGACCGGGGTGTAGCTTAGCAGTAGAGCACGTTGCCTAGCATGCATGAGGCCCTGGGTTCAATCCCCAGTACTCCAAAATAAATCATTTAAATAAATAAATAAATAAAAATAAAGAAAGAAAAAATTTAGAGGCATACAAATCACCAACTCCACTTGAAGGAATTTACCCCACAAACATACCCATCCAAGTGCACAATAACAGATATACATTGTCTTCTTGCCTAAGACAAGAAGTTATAAATTACCTCCATGCCCATCAATGGAACAGGCTAAATGCATAATGGCTTCCTACAACATAATGCCATGCAGGTGACCTCTAACATCAGCGACACCAAATCATTAAGTAAAAAAGCCACGTGCAAAACTGTGCAATATGTAGGACAATGCTCTTAGGGGTGGGGAGCAGGGGGCAGTGCTTACAAATACAAGGAAAGTCTCCACTAGAATTCAACTGTTAACAAATGTGTGCTGTGGGGAGAGAGGCTGGAAGGGGACCCCCTTATTTTAGTTATAACTTTCGACTACAGTTAGACACTGTTCATCAGAAGCTATAATATAAAACAATTTTTAACATGTGGCTCTTAGTTGGAATTATCCTGCAGCTCCCGGGTGTCTGTGCCCTTCATTTCCCAGTAGATGATCTTTTTCTGATTTGCCCCCAGCCGTGGGGTTTTTTGAATTTTCTTATAACTTGCAATAGCTCCCAACTGGTCTCCCCACTCCAGCCCTGCCCCCTCACGTCCAGCTCGCTGTGCTGCAGCCAGGGTGAATCTTGTACTCTGACTGGACCACTCCCCTGCAGACCCCTTCGAAGGCTTCCATCTTAAAACGACGTGGAAATTGCTCCCCCAGGCCCCACGTAACATGCCCTCTGACCTCATTCCCTCCTGCCCTCCAGGCTGCTCGCTCTGCTCCCAAGAGCGTGTCTGGGCTCCTTGAAGTCCTTCCAACACACCAACTGCACCCCTTCTCAGGACTTTTTCACTTGGTTCCCCCTGAGCATTTCTTTGTTTAGAACATTCCTTTTCTTCTTTCAAAGTCACCTTCTCTGACTACCCTTCCAGAAGCAGACCCCACCTCACTTCCCTCTCCAAATGACCACTTTGTGGCCCTCGTCACCACTGACCCGTTCTCCATTGACTGGTATGCTGTAACTTAATGTTGAATCTCTAGGTGTTGAATGTGTTCCTCAACGCTGGGAGGAGTTTATTAAAACACTGAATCTAGAACAGTGCCTGGCACAGAGTGAGTGGACGAAGGATCTCGCCTCCTGTCCTCTTGGAGTATTAAATCCTAACCAGGTAGAATCAGGGAGTTCTGCCGGCATGAATGAGAACACCTGAATGTCCCAGCCCATGGTGGTTTTGTCCCTGGGGACCTCACAGGCTGTGAGTTCAGACTGTGTGTTGGTGTCAGGTTGGAGTCATCTTCTTCCTAGTCTCACTGCAATCTGCCACTTTTCCGGAGTTCTCTGACCGACAATACTTCCATCAGGCACCATGTTGCTCAGGCCAGGAAATGCTAGATTTCTCCAGTCCTTACTCCCTCTGCCAATCACCAAACCCTGCTCTCCTTCCTGGATATTGCAGTAACTTACCCACAAGTTCTCACCACTACTCCACTTCCACTGGGGCTTCTCCTATCCCACTTCTTTATCCGCTTGTAAAAACCCTCCTGGATCCTCCATCCTAGCTCCAGATTTTTCTCCTGAAGCAGGTTTCCCAGAGAAACCTGCCAGACGATGGGATCTGATCCCTAATGGTCTCCAACTTTGGCCTTTAAGCCAGTCCCTCTCCTTCAGGAATCCTCAGGGAAGAACAGGCTGCTTAACCCAGAGCCTGTCACCCAAAAGACATTGTGCATTCTATCCTTCCCAGGAGGAGGGCTAGATTTGGTAGCACCTTGGAAAAAACCACAAGGACCATGGTAAAAAGCCAATAAAGGTCTACTCCTGAGCTCATCCTCATTCTTAGCCAATAGGAAGGAAAAGGGAAAAGAAATAAATAACAACAATAACAATGGTAGCTTATACTCACTGAATGCTTACTACCCACCAAGCATTTTCTAAATTCTTCACATGCATTATCTCGATTAATCCTTGCAAGAGTCCTACAAGGTTAAGTGCCATTATTTGCCCCATTTCAGAGATGAGAAAACTCAAGCACAGAAAGGCTGAGATGCTTACTCAGTCACACAGCAGTGTCTGAGCCAGAATGCCAGCTCAGCAGTAGAGCTATGGCCTCTGCTCTTGCCCACTTCATTTAACTAGCCCTGAAGGTGGCTTTCACTATTTTGTGGACAATGTGGTGTACCAAGATGGGACTGGAACAGGAGTCCTGAAAGTGGGGGTCCAGCTCAACTCTAAGCAGGACTGAAAAGATGTATAAATGGAAGAGTTGGAGTACAGGTGTTGAACTCTCCTTTTCGCCTTAACTTTGACATCGCATTCTATCACTGCCACTTTGCCATCACTGGTTCTGTATTGTGTCAATTTTGGAATCCTTTCTGCTTCAACCAACCCCCTTCCCACAGGAAGCCATAATTTCCCGCCTCCCTCTCAGCAGAATGGCCATTGAGCTGAGCTTCACCCTGTTCCCTTCCCGGCTGTGTCGTCTTTTATTTTTATCATTACTATTCATACTCTGATTTACAAGGTCCAGTGTCGGCCAACTCGCAGTCACACTGATTCTCCAGTAGCATATAGATATCATGGAAATTGGTAGTACTTTTATCAAAATCTGCTTTCCATTTTTTGAGGAATTAGGGAGCTTTTGCCAGTGGAAGATACAAATTTCATGGCATTTATTCTACCAGAACTTGAACTACACACACACACACACACACACACACACACACACACACATTTTTTGTATAGGGGATTGAGCTCAGGGGCACTCAACCACTGAGCCACATCCCCAGTTATATTTTGTATTTTATTTAGAGATAGGGTCTCATTGTATTGCTTAGTGCCTCACTTTTACTGAGGTTGACTTTGAACTCGCCACTCTCCTGCCTCAGCCTCCTGAGCCGTTGGGATTACTGGCGTGAGCCACCATACCCAGCTAGAACTTGAACCATATTAAATCAGCAAAAACCAACTGTATTTAAGGAAAAAAATTATTTTCTTAGTATATTTTGCTTTGGAAATTCTTTCAAAAGAGGATTAAGCACTGAAAAAAAATAAGAACTTATTATACAGCTACAATGAAGTAAGAAATTATATAAAAAACCTACCTTATAAGACGATTAAGAAAGTATCTGAGTATGACTTTAGGGGTTAGTCCTTTGTCTGAATTCTGTTGAATCTTTAGAAATGACCTTGCACTTAACCAACCACTAAGAGAAAGAAAAGAGGAATTACTTATCAATAATATAGTTCATTTGTTGATAAATGGTCATGTCAGGATAGACTAAGTGATACTGCAGTAACAAACAAGCTCCAAATATGAAAGCAACAGTTGTTTGGGTTGTTTTATTTTGCTCATGAAACATACAACCGATTGCCTGGGTCTTGATATCTCCTTGCTTTGGAACTTAGGCTGATGGAGTTGCTGCTGTCTGAAAGTTCACCAGTGACCATAGCACAGAACAAGAGTTCTGGAGGATCTTAACTCAGCAATTCAGTTCTAGTCTAAACATGACACGTTCAAAGTTCTCAGCATAGGATTTAAAGCACTTTGCATAATGGCAATACGAGGTGCTACTTGTTAGTCAGAACTAGTGATGTGGCCCACCCAGGCCCAGTGGGGCTTGGAGAGTGAAATGTTGCCAAGTTCCTGGAGGGTGGAGTTCCAGAAATACTTGGTCAACAATGCTGATAGCTACCATGTTGGTCTTTTCAAGTAGAAACGTCAAGGACTTCCATTTCTACAGAATGGCATCACCTTCAAAGTACTTTCCCCAATGAGATTGCCTTTGCTTCTGCAGCCACACCAAGAACTACTTCCAATAAATGTTTATTGAGTGAATGAACTCACAGGTCTATTAAGTCAAAGGGAAGACATTATCATTCCTCATCCCTAACAGGAAAAGTGAGATTCAGAGATGATTAAGAGGGTTGCTCAAGATCACAGTTAGAATTCCTAACCGACACATCCCAGTGGCAAACTCATGACAGACAGAATGTTCAGCAAGAGGAACGGAGGTGGTGGGTCATGGCGCTGAGTTATAACTTTTAGGTGAGCAAGTGCGTGAGTGAGTTGCCCAACCCTGTGGCATTTAGACCCATGACCTTTGTGGGTGTTTCTCTAAGGATTAAATTTATTTCCTATTGCAAAACAAGGCTGCGTGTGTTGGGCCCAACTTGGAAGGGATCCTGGAGGGCTGGAGAATGTCTTCATTCTCTCCCTGCTAGATTTGCCTTTGAAAAGCAAGTTGGATTCATTATAATAGGAACAAAATTTATAGAGACATGTAAGAAAGAGTGCTGCAGGGTGGAAGTAGGACAGCCAATTCTGATTCCGGCTTCCTCTTCATTTCAGAAAAGGATAAATCAGGGCCATCCTTTCTTTTCAGAGAGACTGGGCACTCCCCTCTACAGCCTGGTTGCTAAGCAAAGCCTGGGTCTCACTCTGCGTGCGGGTGTGCGCCGCCCAGCCTTCAGGTTCATAAGCAGAGGGCACTGAGAAGCCTGGCAGGAAAACAGGCTGTGGGCAGGATGATGGGCTGCAAAAGGCTACGTCCCAGAGTCCTGAGCAGGATGGGAATGGAGAAGTGTGAGGCCGGCTGGCAAGGTAGGAAAGGATCCCAAACAGTCATCCACTAGTCACTTTTTTTTTTTTTTACAGTGCTAGGGATTGAACCCAGATGTCCTCTAGAACTGAGCTACAATCCCCAGTCCTTTTATTTTTAATTTCGAGACAGTGTCTCATTAGGTTGAGGATGGCCTCCTCCTCCCACCAAGCCTCCCAAGTAGCTGGGCTCCATTAGTTATTATTTTTTTTAAATATTTGTTAAGTTATAGTTAGGCACAATACCTTTATTTTATTTGTTTATTTTTATGTGGTGCTGAGGATTGAACCCAGCACCTTGCACGTGCTAGGTGAGCGCTCTACCGCTGAGCCACAACCCCAGGCCCTTCCATTAGTTATTCTTAAAGACAATCAGCAGTCTTTGGTTCTGATGCATATATATCAGTGACGTGGCAATTAAAACATAGCTTCCATGAAAAACATATTAGAGGTTGAATATCTGAAAGGCTTGGGACAAGGAGTGTTTACAGAGTTTGAAATGTTTATACATAATGAGTTATCTTGGAAAAGGAATCCAAATCTAAACACAAAATCCATTCATTTCACACTCACGTAGCACATGTAGCTTTGAGGCAGCAGCATGTTTAGTGTGCTTGCATTTTGTCTGCAACCTGTCACATGAGGCCGGAGTGGACATTTCCACTTGTGGCATCATGTTGGTCCTCGAAGGTTTGAGAACAGTTTAGATTTCAGATTTGGCATGCTCAACCTGCATTCTTAGGTTCTGATTGACACCTTACTTGCTGGGGAGATGTGGACAAATCAGTTCATCTCCAAATACTGAATTTCTCATCTGTAAAAATGTAGATAATATTGTTCCATTGTTCAAATAAAAATTTTAAATAAAGGCAAATGGGACCCTTCTAAAGGAATAAAATAAATACTGAAGGAAAAAAGTCACAGAGATAGGCAGTAAAAAAATAGAAACAAATAAGGACAAAGAAGAAAGAAATGTCTTTCTTTGACTCTAGATTGGAATCAGGATCTACCTCGTTCCCCCATCTGTCATCCCCAGCTCTTCCCCCACCTGCCCTGGGCTCATATGGGGCTTGACCTTAGCAGGCATCAGGATCATTTGGGGGGCTTGTGACACCCCAGACTGCTGGTCCCACCCCCTGAGGGAGTGGGGTTGGGTTGGGCTGGGCCTGAGAATCTGCACTGCTACCAAGCTTCCAGGTGATGCTGATCTGAGCATCACTGGTAAAAGGCTCAGCTCTCTTCCGCCCAGACCAGTCCACATGTGAGGAAGGCAGTCTCCACATATTTGGAGTATTCGTGGATATTTGGCAGTTCAACAACTTTGGCCTGTGGATATAGGGATACATGAGGCTACTCGGTGGCTCCTCTAGTGTCTGAGATTCCCACTGATGGCACAAGGATGGCCAGTGGCTTTTCATGCCCTTCATCCTTCCCTCCTACTGGCTGCTTTCCCAGTCTCCAGATTGGTTCTAGCCATCTTGGTTTGTCCTTGCCAGCTTTCCTCCCAGGGCTCAGGCCTGCCAGTCAGACCCATTCCAGCCTATGGCATGGGTGTGTGTGTGTGTGTGTGTGAGTGATGTGCATGTGCATGTGCATGTATGCATGCCTGGTTTTGCCCTTTCAGGGAAAAGAGTTCTGGTGTCTGATGCTGTCCCACAGGCAGCCCTCCCCATTCCCCAGGGATCCTTCACAGGTGTCCTGTAACTGTGTGCCTCACCTGTCTGCCCAGACCCCACTGTGCTCTCTGGAAAAGTCTAGTGCCCAGTGGCTCCTGTATCAATACTAGACTTTTTGCCGAGTGCTCTGAACTCCGCCTGACTGGGCTGCTCTCTCTTGTCACCTTGGCCACCTTCTAGCTTGAGCCACTGCCCTCACAGGTAGGTCTCAGCTCATTCTGCACCCCACTTGCTCTGCATTATAAAGAATTATCACAGCAGAGTCTTGAGATAAAACAATGGAGAAATGATTCATTTCAATGTAGAGCAGCCCTCTATGGCTATCCTTGCTCCAGGCCCTGGTGACACAGCAGCACACAGCAGAGAAAAAAGTCCTACTGTACATTCCAGTGGAAAAAGAAGGAGAACAATCAATCAACCCATCAATAGTATGTTACATAAAGAAAATCTCAGGAAAAAATGAACTAGAGAATGCTGGAGGGGTTCATTTTAAATGGGGACCAGGGACAAGAAACACTTGGCTGTGAAGGTGACATTTGAGAAGACATCTGATGGAGAAGAGAGGAAGCCACCAGGAGAGTAGGGAGGTAGGTGTTGCAAGGCTGGATGGGGATTAGTAATCCATTACTAGTGCTTTGCCCAGCTGGGAGCTAGTTCTCTCCTAACGCCATGGTTCATATACTTTTGAATTTCCTGGGCTTGGAAAAAAAAATTTTTTTTAAATGTGGAAACATTGCTCTGTTGCTATGGTTATTTGGCATCTCCATCATGTACCCATGTGTCCCTTTCTCTTCAGTCATTCCCAACACACTATAGCTATGCCCTGAAGCATTCTGTGGATGACCAACCACCCTGTGTCCCCCACAAATCATACGGCCCACTCCATTCCTTTTCGCCCTTAAACAGCAAGATGTCTTAAAAGAGCTCCCCACAGTAAGTGCCTCTACCTCCCCCCATCTTTACCTCACCCTGATGGGCTTCCGTTTCCAGCACTTCACTGACCATGGCCCTGATGAGGATACCCAAAGTCTCCAGCTGCCAAGTCCAGGGATCACTTCTCTGCATATTCAGCTCCCAGGGCTAGGTCCCTCTGACCACACCCCTCCTTGAGCAGCTCTCTTCCCTGGGCTTTCTGGTGTCCACAGGGTCTACCTTGTGCCCCCTTTCACAGTCAGTCATTCTCAGTCTCCTTTGTGGGCTCCTCCTCTTCTTCCCAGCTTCTAAGGGTTAGGACACCAGAGACCCTGGTATTCAGTCCAGATCTGTCTTTCTATTACCCTCCTAGTGTGATCAGTTTCAATACTATGGCTTTAAACCCTCCTCTCTCCCAAGGATTCCAAAATCTATGCCCCCAGCCTTGACATTTCCACCCATCCCCATAGTCATGTAATGTCAGTCATAGTCTCATGACATCTCCATGTGCATGTCCCAAGGGCCCATGTCCCAAACAGAAGTCGTATCCTTCCCCTCCCTGCTTCTCCTCCAGTGTCACCCATCTCAGTGAATGAGTCACCACAGACTCAGTAACTGAAGCCAAAACTTAGAAATGGTCCCCAGCTCCCCTGTTCTTACACTTCACATCCAATCCATCAGCAGGTCCTACCAATTCCACCTCTAAGACCGATCTTGACATGACCTTCTCCCTGCCCCAGCCTTATTAATTCTTATCTGAAATATGATGAAGATCACATAATTGACCTCCCGCCTCCACTCCTGCCCTTCTTGGGTTTATCATTCAAATACACAGGAGCCAGAGTGATGGTTTTTAAAAATAAATAAAACCATATCACTTTCTGAATTAAAACAACCAACTTCCTGATCCACCAACACAAAGTCAAACTCCTTGGTGTTCCCATCAGGTCCTCCGTGGTCTGGCCCGGCCCGTGGCTCCTCTTTACCTCCACCTCCCCCCCCCCCCCCGCCCCCCCCCCCCCCCCATTTCCCCCCCCCCCCCCCCCCCACCTCCCCACCATGGCTCTGCTCCAGCCTCCTTTCCTCTCCTTCACAGGGTCTCCTCGCTCTTACCCTGGCTCTTCTGCACTAGTCAATCCCTCAGCCTGAAACCTTCTCCCCTGGTTAGCTTTTCCCAAATCTGTTTCCTTCCTGCCATTTTGGTCTCCGCTCAAACAGCACCTCACCAGGTAGCCTCCTCAGACCTACTCTAAACATCTGCCCACTCCCTCTCCTCCACAGCCCTGTTCTGTTTTTTTCCTGGTATTTACTTAGACTATTTTTTCTTTTGTTAATTACCTCCCACCCCCTCCCCACTCACTAATGGAAGCACCAAGCAAGATCCTCATTTGTTTTATCCATGAAATAACCTTAGGGCATGGAACAATGGCTGACAGAGGGCATTCAGTACATAGTGGGTGGTGACTGAATGCACACCACTGTCACCATCTCCCTGGGAAAGAGGTGAGGACATGGAAAAACACAGAACATGAACTCCGGAGTCAGATCCTGGGTTCAGATCCCATGTCCACTAGAACTATCTCCCTCAGTCTCAGCCTCCCTGTCTTCAAGTGGGGATCTTTAGTGCATGCCCACGATGGCTATTACAGAGTCCTCCAAAGGAATGGGGTGCTGACCCATGCTACAGCGTGGTGTACCTCAAAAACCTCATGTTAACTGAAAGAAGGCAGGCCCAAGGGCTGTGTGTTGCATGACTGCACACACATGAATTCTCTAGAAAGGGTCAATCCATGCAGACAAAAAGCAGACAGGTGGTCTCTAGGATCTGAGCAGGAGGTACTGGGGAGTAACTGCTCCATGGCCATGTGGGGTGATGAAAACGTTTAGGAGCCAGATAGGGGTCATTGCCAACATTACTGAGTGTGCTGAATGCCACTGGGTTTTACACTTTGGTTAATTTTATGTTATATGAATCACATCTCAGGAAAAGGAGGAAAGAAGGAAACAATCCCTTTATTACACAGGGATATCAAGAGGATTAAGTGAGGTAATGCTTCCAAGTACTTAACACAATACCTGCCATTTATTAAACAATTAGGAAATTTTAACTTTGCATTAGTTTAAATAAACACAATTTTAGGAAACATCACATCATTTTCTTCATTTTTCACATTTCACTGTAGTGAGAATTAGAAACTTCATCATGAATCTGCACCAGTCTATGGACTAGATTTTGAGAACCAATGAAATAGACAATTTTGGTAAAGAAAATTGACTTTTGTCAAAGGCCCAATTCTTAGAGTCATCCTAACTTGTTCAATGAACCATGGATACTGAAGGGAGTAGCCTGTGACAACAGCACCGTCTATAAAAGGACAGAAGCAAAGGCCCAGGCAGGTAAGTGCGGAAGATCAGCCTTGCTCACTAAGGCGAGAACGGCGATGTGCATGCACACGGCCCAGAACCAGCAAAACAGAGGCAAATGCAGTCAACTTGATTACCTGATCAGGAAGAAGGTATCAACCCCAAGATAGAAGGGGCCACTCCGAGAATAAAGGTACAGTGGGTTTTTAAGCACTCTGGTTTTCCATTCAAGCACGTTATCTGTAACAAACATGAAAAAGCAGGGTTTTTTTGTTTAATGGAGGAAAGTCACATGATTTCTCAATTCAGAAAAGCAAGAGGAACACCATCAACATTCGGTGCATTGGGAGGCCCTATGAGCCACTGTCCTTCACTAAGGGAACTTAGATTGGGAACAAAGGTGTTGACTAAAGTCGCTGTCACTCAGGCTGTGACCTCCCTTGTGCTCTCACGGTGCTTACAGCCCCCATGGACTCTAGCAACGTCAGTCCAGGTGCAGGTCACCTAGGAGGCTCCTTCAGTCTGCCCTGGACCAGCCCCCTCTCTGATTCTGATTCATGTGTGGTCCGCTGCTAGACAGCAGCATGGTTATGGTAGAGAGTGGCAGCAGAGGGCTGTCAAGAAAGGCTGATTCGATGCCAGCAAATCAGGTTTACTTATGCTTGCCTGTTTCCAGGTAGGAAAAAAAAAAAGAAAAAGAAGTTACTTTCTGACTTTATCAACCAAGTCCCAGAGGAAACCCAGCTCTCTGACTGATGAATATATAATACCCAGGAATCACTATGTATGTGATTATATGTAGTATTTATACCTAGGAGTGGCTCCTCTGAGCCACTCACTATAGAGGTCACAGGCTAGAGTCTCTAAAACAGGGGAGCTGCCATGCTCATGTCCCGTGGCCCAACTCCATCTCACATGGAAGGTTCTATCCTCCCTGACAGTTCTCAGAGGGAAGGCACACAGCTCTCCGCACCCAAAGACAGCCACGCGGTCATCTGGCTGGTATGTCCTGAGATGATCCAGAGGAGACTTAAGACACGGATGCCATTCAGTGCAGGGCAGGTGCCTCCTGGCATCTTTGTAGTCCAGATGGCCGGCATGTTCCTCTGCCAAGAAAAGCACTGCAGAGCATGATCCACGGCTCCTAGAAACCCTGGGCCAGAGCAAAGTTGTTACTGTCCACCCTGAAGGCCAGCCCTATCAACACAGCACCCCTTAACAGGAGCCAAAACACACAGAGATCTTGGCAGCCACCTGAAGCTCTCATTCCAACCCTGGACTGCTCCACGGTCCCCACTAGACCCATCTGCAGACTCTTGCACACCTCCCCACCCCCAAACCTTGATCCTCCCTAACAAGTTTGACCTGAGGTTGGTGACCCACAGAGCCCTGCACAGAATGCACTGTCCAGCATGAGGCCCCAGAATGCCAGTCCCTCTCCCCAGGCCTTTATGAAGGTTGGGGGAAGAAGGTAGACATCAGTAAGTAATCACCTGATCCACAGAACCTGTATTCTACTTGAAATGGCATAGCTGGTGCTCATCCAAGGATGAACCACCACAGTAACACCTTAACTCTGATCTAGAACAGGCATGGAGACAAGAGAGGTGGCACAGTAACAAAGGTACAGGCCTTATAGGTGCTCCTGGCTCTGAATCTGGCTGTCATTTATTAGCTCTGGGATCTCTGGAAAGAGAATTAACTTCTCTGTGTCTGTCTCCACACCTGCAAAATGGGACTCAGAATAGATCTTATAATCCCAGGATCATCATGAAGAACAAAGGAGCTAATACCCTGAAGAGAGACCAATCCATAGACAACATGAGATCACAGCTACTGTTATCACTATTTTAAGCCTTATTGCTTTAGGAATGAACACTCACTCCTAGTTAATTTATTTCCTGTATTTTTTAAGATTTAATTTGAACTACCTTAAGAGAAGATTAAGTGGCTGGAATTGTGAAATAAGAATCTATGAAGCTCAAAATAACTTCAAAAGACTCTCAGTTTTTCCTGTACAGAACTTAGCGCCTTAAATTGAACATCAATGTTTCTTTGCAGAATTAGAACTTATTCACGAATGAGACCTGGCTTATAACCAAACTCTGGAAATCTAAATCAATTTCTTAAATGAAAGAACTTAATTACCTAGCATTTGAGGTTCTAGGGGTAAATCTGAGTTTTCCACGAAGCCACTCACTGCGAAGTACCTCTGCCCAGAGGCCCAGCACTCGCCCTTTCATTTAGGAAAATCGTCCTGCACTGAGACTTGGCGATTAACTGCACACAGCCAGCAGCTTTCTACACCTGGTGTCACCTGACTCCTCCTCGGTTTCCTGAGAAGACCCGTGCTGTGATACAGACACAGGGCCAGGGCCTGCCAGGTTCCCACAAGTGCTCTAACCTCCTTGATCCTAGTTTCCTCACTTTTAGAATGGACAGTTTTGGTAAGATTCTAGAACAATGCCAAAGGTCTAGCTGAGCTCAGTGCTACCTGGGTGAGCAGGTACTCAATACATTGTTGTTGTTGTTGATGTTGTTGTTGTTGTTATTATTATTTTCTCTAATTCTATTTGGGGATGAACTTAACCATCAGGGTCATAAAAATCATCTGAAAATAACTGGTCTGTAGGGAAGACAGCTTCTCTGATTCCCGTTTGGCTCATTTGTAAATGGAAAGTTTTGTAAACCACAGGGACATGGGGAGGACTGGATGAAATAATGCATGTGGTCACTGGTTCTCAAAATGGGAGTCCCCAGACCAGTGATCAGAGTTGTCACAAGTCCTCCAGGTGATTCGGATGCACACTGAGGTTTGAGAACCACTGGGTTTCTCTGATCACAGAGTTTCAATTCGGGTGAGGAACCTCAAGTTTCAGCGGTGGATGCCTGACGCCACGCCAGGTGTGTCTGCCCTAAACCTTGCCAACTGGTCTGAAGTGGGGTCTCTGGGGGCTGGCGAAGTGCTGATGAGAGCCATGCAGGATTCTTCAGTTCCCTTCACTCTGAAATCCAGCTGTCCCTGCTGCCTACTCAGCAAGGTCAACGCAGTCCAAGCAGAAAGTTTGAGTAAATCAAAATCCTAACCTGTCCCTCTCCTGGTTTAACTGAAGAGAATAAGGGAAAGGAGGATGAATTCAGAGGAGGTAAATTCACATAATCTCATTTAATTCCTTCAACAAGTCCCATCTTGTGCCCTTGTTTACACATGTAGAATCTGAGGCTCATAGAGGTCAAACAATCTGACCAAGGTCAGAGTTAGCAATTAAGGCAGGCTTAACTGGGGATCTCTGAGCCTGTACTCTCTGCTATGCTGACCATGCCACCCAACGAAGAGCAGAGCAAAGTCTGGAACTTCATCGTGCAAGAAGTCATTGAGAGATTCCAAGATCTGGGCAGTCACCATAATTGTTCTCAAGATCTGACAGGATCATCAGGAGAGTCGATCTTCCAGATTGATCTTCCAGGGCCCAGCAGGCAAAACCAGACCCACGTGTAGACGTTGCAGGGCAGCAGGACCCTTGCCCAGGAGCTAAAAAATCTGCCCTCCATCACAGCTGCATCCTGGGGAGCTGCCAACTGCTTCTGACTTGGAGAACAAGTGGGTACCAGTGACCTTGAGGTCCTCTCAGCTCCCCCTTGGACTATCTCCAGCTTAACACAAATATGTTTTGTTGTTTTTCTCCTTGCTGTTGTTTTTGTTTAAAATGCAAATGGGGGTCAGGAAAAAATCATTGCTATGCTTTCCACCATGGACATGTTCCCTGAAGCACTTTATCCCATATCATTTTCTTCTGGCCCATTCACTGATTTTTTTTTTTTTAATTTCTTTTGCCCTCATTCAAGTTAAGGAAGAACACTTGTGTAGCCCTAAAGAGAATCTGCCCAAATTACTCCACGTGTCCTAGAGGTCTTTGCCTGGTGAGGCAGTTCTTGTGCACAGTGTGTGCATAGGTGCTCTCCCCTGCAGACGGACAGGTGCACATGAAGTCAGTGCCCGTGGCTTCCCACTAAAACAAAACACAGAGCATCCCTCTCAAGTCCAGCCTCGTGCGACATCTGTCTCTGGCTCAGATCCACTCATCAGCTTGTGTTGCACACTCACCCCTACTAGAGCTTTAGGTTGTGTATAAAGCATTTATTTACCTTACTGATGGCAGAAGCACCTCTGAGCCCTGTTGAGTTGTCCTGAGACTGACCACAGCACAACCCTGAGCTCGGTCCTGACCCAGTCTTTGATGAGCACAAAAACACACTGGATAATTGTACCCAAGAAATAAAGCGGCCTTTTTGGTGACCTTGCTTTGCCTGGGCACCCGGGTGGGAAACAAAGGCGGACTTGTGAGCAGCAGGGAGCCGGCCTCCTCAGTGACATTTAGAAGCTGCTGGGCATTCACTAGAACCCAGCGCTGGAGGGGTCATTTTCCAACCAAGTCACCTCTCTTGGGTGGTCTTAGGTTCATGAAAACGCAAAATGCCTACCTTTTCCTCCACTCGTGGCTCCTGGGGGAGAGAGATGGGTGGGGCAAGCCGTCCACTGGAATCTGCTTCTTGGCCACCTGCTCTCTGCCTCTCTCAAAGGCACACTCCCATACTGGGTGGAAGGTGTCCCGGGTGTTGGTGAAGTCCCAGGGTTAGGGCCCTGTCCCCTGGCCGCCACGAGGATGGTTCCAGCCAGAGGGAGTGCCAGGCCCAGCAAGGTGAGAAAGCTGCGGGGAGAAGACACAGGGCTGGGCCTTACCTCCCTGACCCCAAAGGGAGGGGCCGAGGAAGGAGCCGACAAACACACCCACTGAGTATTCATAACAATTTTAATAGTGGGGAATGACATTCTAAAGATAACAAATAATGAAAAAAATGACAAAGGAGAAGATTAATGAGTTTCACTTAACTCCTTATTATCATTGGAAAAATTATCATAAGCAAACCAAACACGGAGGAAGATATTTGCAGCGATATGACTAAGGATTAATATACTTTATAAATGTAAGAAACTTTAAAAATCAATAAGAACCCAACTAATGCACACAGGAGAGGGTGAGGAAAATAATATAAGAGAAAAATACAGCGGTGGATAAACTCAGGGGAAAAAAATCTTCCTTACCAGTTTTTTTTAAAAAATGTAATTTAAACCAATTTATTCATTTATCAGATTGATGCCAGTTTTTATAAAGGTGGTTTTCGATGCTGGTGAGATGGGAACAAAGAAGACGTGGTCATTCCCACTGGGACAGTAGGAATGAACTGTTGAGGAAAACATGGTCAAATGAGTCCGTTGTTAGGACCTGACAATTCCACATCTATCTGCTTTGTCCTCGGGAACAATTAAAAATGCAAACAAGAAGGAAAGGGCAAGATACTCACAGGAGAGGCAATACCTCCAAGCAAAGAAATTATCTTCACTGCAGTCACATGACAGCTAAGTTCTGGACCATTCTGGGACAGGACTTGTTTCTCAGTGGTTATGAAACCCAGCCATGTATGGGTGTGGTCAGCCTTTCCCTGGTACATTTTGCTTCTTCTTGTGAAGATTAATGGAGACCTCTCTATTCCTTATCCCACTCAGGATACTGTGACAAAGTGCCACAGATCCGGTGGCTTATGAACCATAGAACTTGATTTCTCCCAGTTCTGGAGGCTGGGAAGAGCAAGACCAAGGAGCCAGTGGATTCGGGATCTGTAGGGCCAGCTCTCTAGTTCCTGGAACCTACTAGCTGAGCTCACATGGCAGAAGGGGCTAGGGAGCTCTCTGGGGTCCCTTTTATAAGGGCACTAATCCCACTCATGAGGGCTCCATCCCACAATCTCATCACCTCCCAGAGGCCCTATAGGGTACTGATTTAACATCTGAGCAGCCATCTTAAATGTTAACCGCCATCTTATGAGGTAAGTTTCACTTTCCTGTACTTCTTACCTGAACTCCCCCTACCCCATTAGTGAACTACCCCATGGTACCATAACCCCAAGCCAGTCCCAGAAGCACACCACCCCTTGACTCTGGAAAACCCCATGGTGCCCCAATCCCATGCTCTTCCCACCGGCCTAGCCCTGATGTAACACCCGCGAGCCTATCCCACAGCGCCACAGCTACAACTCCAGGCCCCTACCCCACAAAAGCGGAACACCCAAACATCCTGGGGCCTCTCTCCTCTCTATGGACAGATGGCCTTTGTGTGTCAGCTTTGAAGAATAAACTTCCGTGTGGCTCTCTACCTGGTCTCCATCCTTCATTTCTCGTTTGCCTGTCTCTTGCTGTCTCACTTTCCTTTCAGGCCCCACCTCCCCAAACCACTACATTGGGGTTAAGTTCCAACACAGGAGTTTGGGGGACAAACATCCAGGCAAGGCACATTGGCCAGACATGGTTCCGTGAAGGAAATTAGGTAACTAAAAGCAGTGGGGGAGGGGAAGTTGATAAAGAGGTCCCAACAAGACCACCGGGCCAGGTGCCTCAGACGCCTCTACTCACAGACACAGGGCAGCAAATGTGTCCAGGGGGAACAGTCCAGCAGCACATCTGGCCACACTCCCAGCCGACAAGGAGGAAGAATTTGCTGTAAAGAGGGAGAGGGAAGGAGCCAAGAACGAAGTGTTTCTGAACCTCAAAATATCTACCAAGAGAAAAGAAGAGGCTGTGTTAATTCCCGAGTTTACTACGATCCTTTGCACTTTCACAAGTACTTTCCTATTATTTTAAAATGAAAGTCTGACATTAGAAAGGGAAGATGGCCTTTGTATACAGATCTTTCATTTCCCTGGATGGATCCAACCTCAAACCAAAAATATTTTTTTTGAAAAATCCTATCTGTAATGAGCGCAGACAGACTCTCTTCCTTCTCATTATTTCCTAAACAATACAGTATTATTTACACAGCATTCACCTGAGATGCTGGGCATCATAAGTAACCTAGAGATGATTCAAAGCATTCAGGAAGATGTGTGAAGTTTCTACGCAAGCACCACGCGGTTTTATCTAAGGGACTTCGGCACCCATGGAGCTGGGGATCCTCGGGCGTCTTGGAATCACTGTGTGTGCTGTAGGGAGAGGGTAGGGGAACCAGGGCACATATATGCTGGAAGCCACAGAGCTTGGCCCTCAGCCCAGCTGGAAATGGACCACGTGTCCTGAATGCACAGCCTGTCTGCTCTCCTGCATCCTTTCCTAGCACACCACCCTGGGAATGAGAAGCCTAATAATGAGTCATTTCTGGTTCAGATCTCTCTCTGTGAACAGGTCGCCACAAGAGAGAGAAACAAATGCAATATTAGATGAAAAAATACAAAAGGAAGCTGGAAATCTGGGGGAGGGAACCATCCCAAATGGAAGCTGAGAAGCATTGGCTTAGGACACAGTTAATGAGTCTCTGGAAGAAATCATAAAGATCTTACTAGAAGACAAGCACCAGTGTCTCAAACGTTATTGAGGCTTCAAATCACCTGGAAAGCCTACTAAGGGTCACTCTCTGCCTCCCCTTCCTACAGGCTTCTGATGCAGAGGTCCAGGAGAGACCCAAGGATCTGCATTCCTGCAAGCTCTCAGGCAGCACTTTCCAAGGCTCAGCAAAGGGTGAGGATGTGGTGGGTTTCATATAGCCACAGGGCCAATCATGAATAACAACACATGCTGCTGTTTGTTAAGTGCCTACTAGATGTCAGGCATGTTTTGTTCATTATTTCTAATCTTACAACAACCCTACATGGGGATTACTACATTCCTTATTTTACAGACAAGGAGAATCAGCCTGTGATAAATTCATAAATTGAGCATAGTGATTAAGAACAGGTTCTGCTGGGTGTGTGCATCTGGAGTTCCAGCAACTCGGGAGGCTAAGACAGGAGGATTGCAGCTTCAAGGCCAGCCTCAGCAACTTTCTCAGACACTGCCTCAAAACGAAACTTTAAAAGGGGCTGGGGATGTAGCACAGAGTGCAAAAAGAACGTCCTAGGTTTGGGATCCTGGGTCTATCTGTACTATGTGACCTTGGGCAAATTACATAATCTCTCCTTGACTTAGATCCCCACTCTTGGTAAAATGGGGATAATAATAGTACCTCCCTTCCAGTGTTGTGAATTCACACCCAGCTCTAAATTCTGCTACAGTCGATAAAATCAATGAGCTGCCGGTGCACATTCCATCGGCCTTAAGTGTCTGTGCCATCCCGGGTTCCAGACCAACACAGGAGACTATGAAGCCTTTAGTAGAAACTTCATTGATCTGTTTCCCACTGACCTCCCACCCCACCCACCTTGCCTCTTCCTTTGCACCCACAGACCAAGCCCTCTCCATGAAGTTTCCTTCCCCCTGTCCACTGCACTCCCCACTGCCCCTCAGGTTGATGCTCACCCCGAGCACTCAGTGTAGGATCAACATTCATTTCTTAATAGTGTCTCCTAATAGCTCAGGTCCACATATGTTCCTGGCTAACTTGCAGGTTTCCCAAAATGAGTAACACTGAGTTGATTTGGTACCCCCAGCACACGTGTGTGACATCTCATAAGGCCAGCTATGAAATTGCTCAAGAAATATTTTCTGGATTAAACTAAGAACAGAAGATGACATTCTGTGAAGTATTTTAGATTCCTTTTGAATTCCTCACCAGAAAGGCACTTCTGGGGATAATTTAAGGAGTTGCTACATATCCAGTTTCTCAGTCAGCAACGGGGTATCCATTCTGCGAAGTGCTGGTTGGTCTACTGATTCTAATCATAATAGGCAAAGCAAGATGAAATTGGCTTAATAAGGTGCAGAAAAGAGAAGTCTTAAGCACTGATTCCAAGCCATTAAGAACTCAGTGCTTTTGGCCTCTGCAGAACAGTGTGATCATCATAAAATGATATAAAATTTCCGACCAGACAGACTCCTAGCAAACCCCTGAGAGTAGAAATCTGTAGCCCTCTGGTGTTGCCTCTGGAATTTGTTGACTCGGTGCTAAACAGACCCTTAGAACAAGGCTCTTCTGTTTCAGCTCTTGTGCTGTCCGCACGACAGGTAAAGTGGCTGGCTTCACATTGCACTTCAGTAGGCTTTGTCCAACGTTTGCAAGCGTTCTGAGTGCAGCGCCCTGGGCTAAGAGGACTAGGAGTCCTACACCACATGACCAATGCCCTGTTGCACTTAAGGGAACTCAGATAATGGAACCAGTCCAGCAAGTCCATGTTAGGTAGTGTTCTAGGTTAAATTAAGTCTCTTCAAAAAGGTGAGTCCAGACTTGGGTGTGGTGGCACACACCGGTAGTTCCAGCAACTCTGGAGGCTAATACAGGAGGATCAAAAGTTGGAGATCAGCCTGAGCAAATTAGAAAGGCCCTCAGCCACTTAGTGAGATTCTGTCTTAAAAAATAAAAAGGGTTGGGGATGTGGCTCAGTGGTAAAACACCTCTGGGCTCAATCCCTAGTACCAAAAAACAAAAATAAAATAAACCCAAAAGGTTCAAGCCCTAATCCCTGGTCTCTGGGAATGTAACCTTATTTGGAAATAGGATCATCCTAGATATACTCAACCTAAAATGAGGTCAAACAAGGTCAGGGTGGGCCCTGAATCCAGTATGCGTGGGAAAATGGGGGACAGAGAGACACACAGGGGGGATCCCCACATGACAACAGAGTTGGAGGTTGGAATGGTGTGTCTACAAGCCAAAGAGTGCCCAGGATGGCTGGTGACTAGCAGGAGCTAGCAGGGAAGCAGGGGACGGGCTCTCCCAGAGCTTCCAAAAAGCTCAGCAACTCCTTGATTTCAGATTTCTAGTCTCCAGATGTGCCCTAAGCCACCCAATATTCCACACACTGGTCCCGGGAGCCCTGAGAAAGGAATAGAGAAAGTGATTCTGGCAGTCCTGGGCCTGAATCTTTGGGAAACCGCCCAGAGCTGGGTCTCACAGTCATCGCATTCAAGTTGGAGCTGGACTCTCCGCACCTGGTGCTGTGTATTTTTATTCTCAAGAGCTCACAGTCTGTTGGGTCAAATTTTACAACATCTTATGACAACCACTGTGCAGTGCTTTATCCCAGCCTGTGGCCACAGCTGTCCTTTCCACCTGCCCTGCGTCTCAATCCCCGTAACACTGTGGTCATCTTCACTTGGCCTTTCTCCTACAGTGGCCCCTCAGCTGGGCCTTGCTAAGCTGGTTGTCCCCACATCTATAGAGGGAAACTTGGCAGCTCCATCAAAAAGCTTCAAGGCATACCTGACAAATCCCTTCCAGATAGGGACCTTCCCCGGGGCAGAGATGTTCTCATTCCTACCCTGGCCTCTGTGCCAAAGCTGGAGAAAGGCCTTAACCCCAAAGACTAACTTCCACTAATACCCACTAATCCCCGTGTCGGCTCTGCTCACCCAAACCAGGGCCTTCCAGTTCATCAAAGAGGACCTTCTCATCTTTCTCAGAGTGTGAATTTCTCAAAATATCTTTTTTATTGATAGCAGTTTTCCAAATGTTTCATTTTATTCCAAAGGCGACTCTGGCAGGTAAGCTTAACATGAGCCAGAAAAATTAAATCTCTTTAATAAGAAAGATGATTTACTCATTAGACTTAGGGAGTCACTCGCTCACATGAAATGCCAATTTTACAAGACCTTCTAATGCATCTTTGTTTCTAGGATACTTATGGCTTATCCAATAAGAACTGAATTTGATTCTTAACAAATTGAGGCTTTTGGAGTTTGTTTTTCTGATGACTCTGGGGACCAAATCCAGGGCCTCACATGTTCTAGGCAAGAACTTTACCACTAAACTACACTTACCAGCTCTTGTTTATTAAAAAAAAATGAATTATTAGGCTAGATAGACAGTGAACCCAAAGCTGCAGTGATCATTATTAGTCAGAGGACAAGTTAGGTTTCCAAAAACTTAGCTGCCATATCAACGTTTTAAAGGACAACTCTTAATAATTGTCCCATTAGTTCTCTCTTAGATGACCACGATCAATACAAAAGACATGAGTGGAAAAAGAATTTAGGCTTTCAAGCTCTTGCTCAGAAAAATCTGAAAGATTTAAAGGAAGTCAAGCCAATTTCCATACAGAAGCTAAAATTTATTGTTTCTCCATAGCCAAGGGCAGGAGTGGTCATAAAGCCACAGAAAGCTAGAGCTGGGTGAACCTGAGAGCCCGCCCACTTGCTGCATAGAGGAAGAGACTGAGCCTGTGGAGATTAAGTGATTTGCCCAGGATCACGAAGCTGGGAGGTGACAACCAGGACCAAATGCTGGGCTCTTAACACTGCAATGCTCCGGCCTCCCCAGTCCTGGTTCAGGAGCACCTTCTGATGAAGCAGGTGCCAAACACATGCGCCCGAGCAGAGTGCACACACCGTGTAACCCAAGGCCACCCACCTCCTATCTCAGGCCTGAGAGGCAGCGGTGTGAAGGAAGACGGTTTAACTCCACATTGTTATTACATGAATGTTCAGCTCTTGTCTCCTCCTCTTCTTTCTCTTTGCCTCCTGCCTACTCCATGACATTCACTTCTGCTCCCAGCCCTCAACTCTTTTCTCTCAGTTGAGAGGATTGATTGGACTGGAAGGTTGGCTCACTCCCTGGGAACCACCCGTCTTGCCTCTAAGGAGTTGGGGATGTTCAAACTTGATACTGAAATAATAGTTCCTCTTGTACCTACCCAGCCGAGACATCGTCGTCACATCCTCTTCAGCACAGGAATCAGGGACACATATGCCCACACTATAATCGGCTCCATCCTGAGAAACAAACGACACAAAGCTCTTTAATTTTAGTGTTCGCAGCATGTATGCATGATCATTTCCAAGTAATGCTGCCACCACACACCACCCATAAATTCAGCAAATTGGAAGAAGGATAGAAGGGTGTTGGAAGGAGAAAGTTTTCTCACTTAAGACATGGATTTTCCATCACAGAGCGATTCCAGTGAATGTCTACATCATCAGATGCACATATATTTAAATTAAAATGTATCTCCAGATTTAATGGAGCCGATTATTTAAGAAGCAGCCACCGACGGGTTTTGGATAATCTGACCCAATGAATCTCTCCTCCAGATTAGAAGTCATTAAGTGCTGATTCCCCTATCATTTTCAACACAATTGATAAGTTGCCATTTCAGGGTAACAGGACACAAGAATCTAGTAAAGATTTCATTAATCAATCAATCTGATAATTAGAATGTCTGTCCCAATAAAGAGAAGATCAAATTATAAGTAAATTCTGGAATGCTTCTTCTAAATGTATAACATTCCTGATTAGGCCTGACCTTTTTGCTGTGATATCAAAACCATTAATCTGCTTTGAAAATGACGTTTGTACACACTGATTAAAGTCTCAAGCAATCATTATCCCAATCCTCAGCAAGACAAATGAGGCTGACTGATAATATCCCTGTCTCCATGGTTAACCACTGCAAGCATTTTATAAGCTTTAATATCAGAGAGCTTGCATTTCTTATTGTTATTTCAGATAATTGGTTTTAGCCAACTAGTAATGTTTCTTTTAGTCTTGTGTGACAAGTATAAAAAACTATCCTCTATTTAATAAAAGGCTGTGCTATTCCTAGGGTTTTTCCCCTGAGCTGTAAAAGGATTAACATACTTTGAAGACAGTGAGCCCCACATCATTGGTCAACTGATTTAGCAATGTATTCATAAAGTCAAGACCCATCTGCTAGGATAACCTCAAATTGGTGTTTAGAGCTATGTTTCTGGGAAAAAGGGTTATAGGTAAAGGAAAGTCTATCCTCCTCTGGTATTCCAAAAATTGATGGGGATTCAGGAGCTAGTGCTTAGAACTGTGTTCCAAGCTCCTTGATTTGATACACACCATACCAAGCAGTGTCATATCCTTGAGAGTAAGGATGTCGAGAAGGGACATGGGGAGAATGGTGAAAGCCCTAAGAACCCCAAGAATAGAAGACTGAGCTTATAAAGAACATCCAACAAACCCAAAGAACATGTACAGGATCTTGCTAGCGAAGGTGCTGGCCAGGACTTGAACTTGAATTCCCTATGAAGGCCCTCCAGAGGTCTTGCCCCACACCATGTGGTAGGAGGAATATGTCAAGATCCATGTGGTTTGGGGATAAGTGCCTCAAATAATTCCCCACACTCAGAAGAAGCTGAGCAACTATTTAAGTAGTTTTGATTTTTTGCAAAACATGGCAATAATTTTTGATGTTTTTAATTAAGAAAAGCAATCCGTAGAGTTGTATTGTGTTTTGTATCTTTATACTCACTTGACCTTCAAGAGCAAGCAGTCCCCAACACTCACCTGCTGTACATAAAGCTTGCAGTACTGCCCTTGGAAGCTCCCTGCTGGGCCCCGGGCGGAGAGGCACTCACTGTATGATCCCAGCCTGTCCACGTTTCCATTAAGAACGTTGCTCCCAAGCTTCCCCACAGAGTCATACACTGAATTTCAAAGCAGAAAAGGTTTGCAAAATTAGCATCCTTATGTCACTTTCAAATGAATTTATAGGAACTTGGCTTCACCTTCCAAACCTATCAGACACTTGTTTGACCAAAAAAGGAGGAGAGACAGATTCACACAGCCTCGCTCATCATCACCAGGACAGAATGGTGAAGTGCATTCTCTTGCCATTACAGGACCTATCAGCAGTTGCCGAAAAGATTTAAAAAAAAGAAAGAAAAGAAAAGAAATCAAACTCTTTAATAAATGCTTTCTGAGGAATGAAAAAAATGTAACTACAATCTGGTAGCTTTTCTTTCTCCACTCACATACTCATGAGAGAATACTCATGTCTTAAAACAAATAAATAAATCTATGTGTCTGATTTTGTGGGATCATATTTTTGGAGAGAGCTAATTTTTTTTTTGAACCTTAGAGCAGAAGGGACGAGGGATCAAGCTGCACAGTCAATGCCATTCTCAGCCCTCGTCTTGCAGAGGTCCTCTTTTGCTTGGGTGATTTTTTTTTCTTTCATTTAAAAAATTTATGTCCTTTCATATTTCTTCATCTACTCCTTTCCCGTCCCCAATTTCCCTATGTTGGAAGTTTTTGTTTGATGCCTTATGTTTGAAGCGTATCCTCTCATTTATAGGTGTTCTTGTTTTGTATATGTGCGTTTGCCACTTACATGAACAATTGTGTGTTCCAATATCCTTCTGTTTATACACATGTTGCTCAGTGCTTCATTTTCAGTATTTTATGCATATCTAGTGCAGGGTTTCTAATTGATGTATAGTAATCCATCACTAAATTTGATTTAGCTATTCTTCAGGTGATGGACACATAAATGGCCCCTCCTATGCAAACACATGGTGATCAATTCCTTGCACCTGTGCAGACACTCACACACAAACATGTATACACACATACTCAGACCCTAAGTAACAGCCAAATCTACCACACTGTGGGAGCAACAACCAACATGAAGCTGGAATGTGTCAGGCACAGCTTTGAGCACCTTCTGTACACTCTCTCCCTTGGGAGAGACCCTGGGAGATAACAAGAGAAGTAACCATTGTAATCCCCATTTTTCAGATGTGGACACTGAGGGAAGTCAAGTCCCTCACCCAAGGTCACGTTACTAGTAAGCGGTAGGGCAGGTAGGAAAACTGAGGCCCAGAGGTGATAGGCAATGTGTACGTCATGTAAACGTGCCTCTTAGTGGTTTTTCTTTTTCCTTCAATTTTTATTGTTTTCTTTTATATTGTAAATCTACATTTTTTTAAGAGATAGCAAAAATCAGAGCTATGTGTTCAAACTAACTGGTCAAGACTAGAGGTGGGTGTTTAACCCAGTTTAACCTGAACCCTCTAAAATAGACAAAAAGACCCTATTTTTACTTGTCAGTTTGGAAGATAACTTCTTGTACATAACTAAAAATAATGATATTCCTTAGAGTGAGCAGAGAGAAAACCCCAAATATAGCTCCTCAAATTACCGAGCTCCTCTCACACAGCTGTCTTTCTCCTCACAACCACGACTGAGCTCCTGAGGTTTAACCCATTTTGTCCCATGGTCCCTTGTGTTGCACACCCATAAAATCTTAAATATTGATATTAAATATAGTATCAATACATAATATAATCATGTAAACTGTAACATAATAATAATATAAGCAGAATATGATTATATTAATGCATAAGTTCTACAGCATGATTTCCAACCTTTTTTAACATGCCTGTGTCAAATTTGTTGAAACATCCACACACCTGAAAATGTGGGACTTAATGGATTTAAATTTTGATATCAAGTTGAGATAACTGCATTTTGTTTACATGTATGCTTTTTTCAAAAAAGTGCTATGCTATTTTGAAAACCTCCTGGCCATTATTGGGCCCCCCCAAAAAAAAAAATCCCCTTGGCCATTTGTAGCCAGCAGTCATTTTTTAGGCTAAAACTGAATAAAAATGATGAACCATGTCCTTCCCCTCTTTTATTTTTTATTTTATCTTTGTGTGTGTGTGTGTGTGTGTGTGTGTGTGTTTTGTGTACCAGGGATTGAGCCCAGGGGCACTTAACCACCGAGCCACATCCTCAGCCCTTTTTATTTTTTATTTTGAGACAGGGTGTTTTAGTTACTTTTTTTGCTGCTGTAACTGAGAAACCCGACCAGAACAGCTGTATAGGAGGAAAAGTTTATTTAGCGGCTCACAGTTTCAGAGGTCTCAATCCATAGACAGCAGACTCCATTCTCCAGGGCTCCAGGTGAGACTGAACATCATGGCGGAGAGTATGGCGGAGGGAAGCGGCTCACATGATGATCAGGAAACAGAGATAGACTCCATCTCCAGATACAAAATATATACCCCATAGTCACGCCTCCAATGAACCACTTCCTCCAGCCATAACCTGTCTCCTGTTACCACTCGGTTAATCCCATGGGGATTAATTCACTGATTAGGTTAAGGCTATAACCCAATTATTTCTCCCTCCCCCTCATGGTGACACGAGGTTTACTGTTTCCCAAGATTTGGACGGAGTAAAACAAGGAACAAACCAAATATGGCCTCCATCCACCCACCAGTGCCCCGCTGAGAGGCTGTGGAGTGGACACTGCCATTGAGACTGTTTGGTCCTGACGGGTCCAAAGGTCAGGCTTTTGTCCTTCCTCTCCATCTCATGAGCTGCCCGACAGCCTGCCAATAGCTGCTCTTTATGTTGAAGTTTACCAAAGTTGGTACCTGGAGTTTAACCCAAGATTCCTTCCTAACTGATGTGCCCAGTGACCAGAAGTTCAATGTCTTAGAATCTGCCCAGGGAAATATGTGAGCACCCATTGCAAGATGCTTGTGGTGATAATGCTTGTAATGGCCATAAAAATAGGATTCAGAACAGTAGATTGAACCAAGTGAAAGCACCATCTTATAGGACAAAACTAGCTTAGTGTTGGCAGTTTCAAATAGTTCTCCCTCTCAGGAAATAGTTCAATGAGCAGTAGGACTTTCGTGTTTCACAATACCATGCAAAAACAAACAAAAAAAAAATAGATAAACATATTATTATGTGGGGGAAAAGATAGTTCAAGAACATCTGCAATCCTGGCTACTCAGAAGTCTGAGACAGAAGGATCACAAGTTCAAGGCTAGCCTCTGCAACTTAGTGAGGCCCTAAGAAACTTAGCAAGACCCTGTCTCAAAATGAAAAATAAAAAGGACTGGGGTGTAACTCAGTGATAGAGCACCTGTGGGCTCAATCCCCAGTATAGGAAAAAAAAAGAAAAAGACAAACTATAAATATACTACACAAACTCATCTTTCTATTAGATGTATATATTTTAAAAAAAAAAGCAAGAAGAAGGTTCTTGGAAGTTCTAGAAAAACATACACCATTGTAACACTTTGTTATCCAGGAAGGGGTCTGGTATTTGAATGACAGAATTAAAAAACAAACAAACAACAACAAAAAAAAACCTTGGGCTTTGTATTGTTTAGATTCCTTTACAGTGTGGGTAGATTCATATATTACTTATATGTCATAAAATATAAATGCAATTTCAAATTAGTGCATTTTTTTAAACTTCAATCGCTCCCCATTGTCTAGATCGGGGCTTGGTAGAGCACACCCCACCGTTTGTCAGTAGGCTCTGTGGCACACAGCCACAGTCATTTGTTTTCCTATCTTCAGGGCTTTTGTGTTCACACGGACAGAACAGCAGGCTTAAGTAGTTGCCCCAGAGGATATCTGGCCCACAGAACTGAAAATCTTTACTATTTGATCCTTTAGAGAAAATTTTTCAACTTCTTATTTAGAGCTGTGATTCTCAATCCTGGGACTTTTTTTTTTTTTTTTTTTTAATACTAGTGCCCTGGCTCTATCTTTGCAAAGGATGCAATGTGGGCTCGGGCATTGATGTTTTTCAGTTCCCCAGGTGATTCCCAAGAGCAGCCAGGCCTGCCTACTCTGACCTGTAGGATGAACTCTGAATTCCCAAGACCAAGTGCTTCCTCGGCTCCATGGTAAGGACGCACCAGGCTGCCACTTGTCTTTCTGCCTGGGTTGTCCCGCCTTCTCCTCTACTGGCACATGGTGAATCATCCTTATTCCGTCTCACCCAGGAAATACTCCAGACTCTTGCTCAATGCATCACACCGTAAGGTATGTCACTGTGTACCTGTCCCCCAAGAAGGCAGGGTCACACCATGTCTTAGTTAATGCATAGCTCAGAGAAGGAGCCCAGTGAACACTTGCTGAATTGAATTAATAATTGAATTGGTAAAGTTGGCTCAAATGCCCCAAATCCAACTGGGCACACTTATATTCCCAGCTGTTCTGGGGGCTGAGGCCAGAGTATCACAAGTTCAAGGCCAACCTAAGCAATTTAGCCAGACCCTGTCTCAAAATAAAATTTTACAAGTCTGGGTATGTAAATCAGAAGTACAGCACATATTTACCATGTGAGATGCCCTGGGTTCCATTCCCAGTACTGGAAAAAAAAATCCAAAATCCAGCTTCACTGTCCCATAAAACAAAACAAACAAAATGATCATTGGATGCATTTATTAGAAATAGACGAATGATTTTCTAGGTACCTTCTCCATCACTGATGGGGTACCCCACACTCTTCACCTAGAGTTTAAGGGTCTGGAACTGTAAGGGTTGAGGGGACAGAAACAAGAGAAGTGCCAACACTGAGCATGCCTTCCCCTGGGGTAAACTCTCGAGGGTGCTTATAGAGGGTACCCAATTCCTCATCTGAGAACAGTAAATTTTAGTTTTTTCTTCCACTTGGCATTTTGCTTTGCAAACTGGTTACACTTGTGGTTTTTTAGCTCAGTGTGTTTTGTGTGCTATACAAAATCTCAAATTTCAATTACTTCTTTCCTGATGATGAACTCAAATGGACAAGTCGCCCTTTTCCAGCCTCATCCCTAATTAGTTTCTGTCAAGAACCTAAGAGATAACCAGGGCAAGGCCACCATCTAAATCAAAATGCACTGTGTCG